CTCACTACCACCAGCATCATCCGTGATAGTGCACCACTTCACAAGAACGGCCCTTCGTCGTCCGTTTCTGTCCGATCCCCTAAAACGACGGCAGCTGCTGCAGAAAACCGGTGCAGCACGCCGTATAATCATATTGTTGTACTGCCATCGGACTCCTCCTCCACCACCACCGTTGCTCTTTCTCCCTTTTTCCTCATCCTAGAGCCGGTCACAACTACGCCGGGAGGTTCGGTCGTGCATAAAGACCGCGTCTTTTCTCTTTTTCTCTTTCTTTTCTCGCTTTTTTTTTAATACGACTACCGTAGAAGCAACAACCGTATTATGTATATGCTTGATTAATGCCTGCATTCTCGTGGACTCGAATATCTCAATGTCTTGCCGGAAATGATGCAACTGCGGAATCTCGTGGTTATTAATTAAATTGTCGGCTAACAAACTTTTCGTATAATTAATCGAATAGAGATTTGTAGATATAAAAAGGATGAAGAATTCGTAAATTGCGAAACGTTAAAAAATGAGTGAAAAAATTATTTTTGAAAATTAAGTCTACATTTAAATAAAGTCAAACGTTTATATACCTTATTTTTCACTTCTCTGTGTTTCGGAAACAAACACTTGAATAAATCCTGTGGATATATAAATTGATATCGCAAGTATTCTTTACCTTTCAGATAATATGGAAATAGCAAACTACAAAAACTTATGAAAAAAAGGCAGTAAAAGAAAAATATTTTAAAGAAAAGCTTTCGTCATATATGAAGTAGTGGCATAATGGATTTTAAAAGCGAGGACGCTGCGTACGCGAGATCCGAGTAACATTCAAAATTAGAAAGTTATCGAAAACGGGAACGTTTGTGCATTTGGTTCAGTGCACAAGAATCTTCGCGTCGCGGCGAGTGAAATAAAACGATCCTTTTAAAAGAAATGCCTGTGATTCAATATTTACAAATATCACGTAAATTAAGTAATTTCTGAAAAAAAATTATACGAGACTACTGCATTTAATAGGTGCACCTAAAAATATAACCAACATGCTTTAGACCAGTTTCTATTTCATTGGTATCACAATAGCTCAAGTCAGGAAAAATTTGTGAAACCCATCAGGTAATAAGACGCGCGGCTGTAACGGCTCTAGTAGGACCTGAAGACGTTAACAATCATTGTATAGCGGGTACATCATAAATCAACAGAAATAAGCGTCAGGTAGAAATAAATGGAACAGTTGAATTCTACAGAAATTCGCTTCAAGGCCAAAACGCCAACATAAATGTGCGTACCGTAAGCGAAGAAGGAAGTTTATTCGTGACTTAAAATTTTGCCGTTAATCATGTCATCTAACTCTAGCATTCGAATATTACCTCAATGGTGCAAAAATAAATTGAAGGAACGATCACATCAGAATGGCAAGAAGGTCCGTGTATCCTTTGGTATTTGAGTCTCGAGAGTGATCGTCGAAAATTGAAAGAAGGTAATTAAAATTTCGAAAAAGAAAAATTACAATCATGATTCGATTACGATGCAGCCTCGCACATACGACATTGGCCCATTGCCACGCGCTCGACGAATCTAACCGAAATATCTTCTCGGCCAAAGTCGCAAAGGCCAGAGTTCCAGAAAACTCAACAGTTTGTCCCTTTGTTTAACGATCAACCGAACAATTGTATTAAATATAGAAGTTTGGCCGTGTAAACATGGCGACACCGGCACAGTTCAACTGAAGAAGTTTCTAAGGACTTTCCTTTTAACCTGTTGCTTACTATAACACCAATACATTGTTGCAAAGCGTAACGGTGCATAAACCAACGAGGATAACCTTAGAAAATATACATTGAAAATCACTACGTGCTAAAGTGTTATGGAAAAGAAACGTTTTTAAAGACTATTCGAAGATTATTATCCGATAATTACTTTTATATTCCCTACTAGTAGATACAGTTTAAATGTTAATCGTATCCGTTTATTTTTGCTACAAAATAATACAAAAGTTCCGAACAAACTACAAGAGCTATCGTTTAGAAGAATAAATTCAGTAGGAGAAATCGCTAACGACAATTTGTCAATTAAATTACAAACAAAGAAGTGTTTTGAATTTAAAATGAACAAAACTGCCTGATATACATTGTAAATTACGCAAAGTTATAATTAATCATAGCGTAGAACCAATTAAATAGCAACTAATTAATTCGAAATAGTAATTGTAAAACATAAAAAATATAATGTTTCTCTCATTCTTCACGGCAGACGGCTGTAATCACCTGCGCGCGTTTCCAGGCCTTCTGCTAAAGAGAAATCGTCGAGCCGACGTCGAGGTTTATTAATAAACGTCGTGGTACACGTGCCCGTCGCCGTGTACCCCTTTGTCGTGACGAGACCGCTGCAATAGGGGTGAAACAAGAGCAACCGAGAGAATAAGCAGATCGTTTTACGAACGCACGAGATAGTGACGCCGAAACATTTGGCTATCGGTTCAGCAAAATTTCCAGAATCGAATTACAAAATAGTGAAACATTTCACATTGTTTCGATTCCGTAGAGACTCTATTAACATGTAAATATTATAACCTCCTGTTGCCGACACTGTTTCGAACGTAATGATAATAAATTCGTCCGAACTGCTCGTTTTCGACGAAGAACTTTTTTACTCGATTATAATGAACTGCAATGAACTGGAATAATGTACGTTTCCCGAAGACAGCATGAATTTTTCGTTGTGTAATGTAATGCGTTCTTAATGACTCCTCGCCTCTCCCGCCGCCCTTTTTAACGATATCTCGCTAAAGCGTTTGAACATCGACCACGCACGGGCGCAATTGAGCAATCAAGCTGCATCAAAATATTTGTATAGAATTAATGGAGATGTTTTGATACGCACCTATCAAGTTCCTCAGCACACTGTTACCCGACGCACTTGCAATATCGTGGTTAATCCGAACGAGAAACACCAGGAAGGAATTCACATAAGTAACCCCCTCGGCGGCGAGATAATATTTGATCGTCGGTAAAATTGACGTCGTGGATTAATAATGCACACGGGGACAACAGCTGCTCGCGTTACAAATGAATTTTTTACTTACTAACACGGACAAATTAAAAACGGTTTCCTAAATTTGTTACGTATAAATCGTGTCTGTGTGTGTATGTATGTATGTTATGTATGTATAGATATAATTAAACGCGATGCACTGTTGACGACACGTACGTGGTAACTGATGTCTTTTTACAATTGGCGATTTTCCCTGCGCGCACACATCCGACACGAACGAAGGCCCACGTGCGAGTACCGAACTACCTTTGAGTTACCGTGCCGCACACCAGTTTGCCGGGTTTCTATATGATTTCTCTTCTCATTGGTCCATGCTGTCCCCCACCATAACGTTGTGCCAGTAGTGTAGCGTAACAACGGCAGAACGAGCCACGGGTGACGCGAGCGGTTGAAGAATCGGCTCACGATGTGTTGACAAATCTTCCAACGTTTCACCCCGTAGAAAAATTTTGGAATAGTGTTAACTATCGATGAAAAGCTTGTGAATTTAAAAAAAGATTAAATTTCTTTTAACTTTAAATCATGATACTGTATTTATATTTCTTTAAAAAGTCCTGTGAATACTCGATCTATCGTGACAGTCTTCTTTGTATCGTAAAAAATATTGAATAAACAATACAATTTCGTCATTTTAATTGGTATAAACTATTTTCACGTATTAAAAAGTACTATCATCATTGTCAAAGCGATATTCATTTTATTTTACTTCGCAAACAGAACAATGAACTCGGTCCGTTAGCTTTCAAATATATGAAGCCATTTTGCTTGGTTTCCTTTGAATATACTTGTTTCGGTTTTGTTATAATTCTGACGACTCCACGACAAAAATACGACGGTAGTTAACGTGCCGAGGAGAGATGAGGTGACGGTGCCAGAAATTTGGAAGCCTTCGAAAGTACTGGTCCGAAACGATTCTACAGGATCCATGAGGCAAGGCGGCGATCCGTCGAGGAGTATCAGCTGTTCGAATTATTATCGTTGCACACGACGGCAGATGTTCACTGGCTTGAAACACTCCCCCGAAGGTTTTGAACCCGCTGATCTCTTTTCTTTGGAGCGGGTGAAAACTTTCAAGGAAGCCCAACATCCCGTTCAATCTCGCACAATACCAGTACCGGCTATACTCTTTCCACAAATACGAGGAACAAATTAAACAAAGAACCTCATGAAACGTTTATTCGCTGGCAAGTCCTGTTTATATTTTTCGTAGTTATTGAATGCAATAACGTCTTTTCAATAATAAATTTGGAAAATTTATGAATTAAATATATGTATTATTGTGGGCAAATAAAGAAATTCATTCGAAATGAAGACGCTTTATTTAATTGAACTATAGTAGTTGCTATTATTAGTATTGTTATTGTTATTAATATTTCAAATTTAAATAAAGTTGAATGCTTCAAATAATCGCATTATTTGAATATTTTTCATTGTAAAGTTGACTTTTTTCTACAAACGATATTAAATTTTAAAGATAGAATCTATTCATATGTCAAAAGCGACTTGGCAAATAATTTAAATGTTTACAGACTTCTCTTTCTTCCTCTTGCATGTTTTCCAACAATATGTCACCGGTTTGAAACGTTTTCAATTTATATCTTTTTAAGTGTTGAAAATCTATGAGACTGTGTTCGTAAATATCAATTTGCTTTTAAACATTTAAAGTAACGCATAAATAAATACACCTACATTCAATTCATGCATACATATATAAAATATAACTAACTGAAACAAAATTAAACGTTCCCAATAATTTATTTACATAAATGATTTAAACTATGTAATATATCTAATTGCCATTCGACTTTATCCAAAGGACAATTTTATATAAAGATTCCTTTGTTTCGGGTTATTATTTATTGTGTCACTCAGTATACAGATATATTTCGTTCGTATTGTTTCAAACATTTTTCCAATTGCAACTTATTTTTAATTCAATAAATTCTTCCTACCTTTTTCCGTTTCAATACACAACAGTGATAATTTTGAATTGTGTAGTATACAGGATATGCTCGACAATAAACGAGCGGGAAAAAGTATTTCTAAGTAACCTAGCAGACAATTGTGAAAGGGATAATTCGGCGAGCCTCTTTCTCGATCCCGAACCGATCAGCAGCCTCTGGTTCATCGTATTGTTCGAGGCATGCCGTTAGTTACATGTCACAAAGTATAGGATATCATCGTCGTCCACGTTTGAAGGAGACCCCATAGGTTCGTGGCACGCGCTGCCAGCTGCCCCACAGCTGTCTCTTTCCTCTCGCGTCCCTCGTGCATGAAGCCGGGGTTCTTACCCGAGCGTGGTGCATTTACCACACAGAACGACCCGTTCCGTCTCTGTGTGCACGTGCACCAAGTCCAAAACGCGTGTGTCCATAAAATATTTCGTGAGTAGTACCTACATTCGTTGCTGCGTCGTTGCATACTCAATGAGGCGCACCCTTAAAGAACGTCAAGATGCGCGCCTTGAAAGGGTGAACCGACACCTTTATTGTTCCAGAATGGGGTGTCCTTCTGATAAATTTCAAAATACGCACAATACTTAGCACAGCATCGAATACCTTTTAATTCCTATGCATCGCCTACTACTTTCATTTGAGTGGAAGGGATCCAAAGACAAAAGAAAATGAAAACACTTAGAAAATGTCTGTAGAAACAAATAACTAACCCCTTGCCTTATAATTTATTTAGCGATGATGTCCATAGAAGTTATTTTATTATTAATAACTTTCCATCAAGGAATCGGACATATATGTTCATTGTAGGTGTTCACTTATTATAAATATTAGATATCTATAACCGTTATACAGTATTCTGTTTAGTTTTGTATCAGCTGAATTTAATGTACAGTCTTCTTCTAAAATATGTGTGTAAAAACGTAAATGTTTGTTTATAAAATATGTACAAAAGTTTTGATGGAAGTTACTACAAAATGTTACCGTTTTATTTTCAATATATTAAAAGCTTGAGTAGCTTTTTTTAAATAGATTTTATATTCGATATATTTGATGATGAAACAAATCGTGTTATTCTGGTTGAAATTATTAAGTAGTGATTATTAAAACGCTATTCCCAGGATATTTTGAAGATTCAATGTTCGTTAATAAAATTGCTATGTATTATTTCTCAAAATGAACTACTTTGATCGTTACTTTTCCAATTTTCTGTACGGTAGGTGTCGCTCGTTTATCGTGTCACTAAAGTGCGATGTGGGGGTTTACATTTGCGGTTTCTCATCCGGCTTGTCTGACACGCAGGAAATAGTCCTGAAGTGTCCTAGAGGATGCAAGGCTATTGGGTTTCGTGTAGAAAAAAGCGTGTGGAGCGGCGTGGAAAGAGATGCAGAGAGAAGGGACACTATCGAGAAACGTAGAGACGCGAGAGCTTGTGCTGAAAGTAGAAAAAAACAGAAAACCAAAGTGCATCCGATGAAGACCGGAAATCCTAGGGCATTCAACCCTGACACCCGGTATATATTTAGACTTAAAGAGACATGCTCTAATCTGATCGCATAGATGCTTTCCTGGTGACCAATTGAAAGCTGTGCAACGGAAAATTATATTTGAAAATGTCACAAATCCGTACTAAAATAAGGAAATGAGCAATATCTTATAATTAAGACAAACTATGTACCCGAGGATGTCCGAATTAATAACACGCGTTAACACTAAACGTACAAGCACTTTGTATATTTCTACCATAACCAGTCAAATAATTGGTTGCAAAAGTACAAAAATACAAAAATACAAAAATACAAAAATTAGAAAACTGATTAATCGGGCAATATAGAAATTGATATAAAGCAATTAGAATTAACAATAAAACTACCGTACCAGTAAAAATGACTGGTTTCGGTTTTCTTGTTTTGGAATTATTGATATTTTAAAAGCGTTGAATATTCGAAATGATTTTGAAAATAAATAGTTTCACTTGAATATTCTAATGAATATCTAAAGAAACTGAGGAAAATCTATTGTTACAATTTTTATAGAGATTACACATCAATCGTATTAAATGCACTGTAATTTTAGTGTTATTCATATTTTGAAACCGGCTATTTGACCGGTCGCGGTACATTTAATGTTAATGATGAGAGTATATATTAAACGAACGTTACAAGTGCCTACTTACCGTCAACCTTCATTTATTTGAAAAGGCAGAAAATCCGTGACGCTTCTAAAAGATAATATGCACTGAACACATTGCGATTTTATCAATGTCCCAAAAGGAACTTTACACTTCCGTGAAGGAAGTCGAGCATTTCCTATTTGCTTATTGCATAATCACGCACGCAATGCCATGCGAGTATCAGGCCTGCCTCGATACATATATTAAACTTCGAAACAGCCAAGTATGAGCAGTTTCCGCGCATACTTCGTACGTTCCACGTTAAATGAATATTACAAGTGAAAGTGTAGAATGAATTTCATTTCAAAACTCTGGGCTTATTCGAATCAATTGAATTGCTAAATTTGTACGCTGAGTAACATCAAAATACTTTCATATCATATCTTGTATGTGGTAATACGTGTAGTTGGATTAAACGAGAAGAGAAGCGTTAAATGTATGTGTAAATCTTATAATAATAATATTTTGTTTATTTGGTAAAGTTTCTCGTGTATCCTGTAACTTTATATCAAAATGAAACATTAAATATTAGTTAAGAATACTAGTATAGATACTTGTTCTATACTTGAAACGCTCGCTTGAAATTATTTACAAAAAGAAAGTGCTTATTAATAACAGTTACTTCCGAGGAATGAATTGAACGAGCCACGATGTGGAAATTTTCTCTTTGAAGAATTACACGTGAAAGCTGCAAAGTATCCGCGTCTTTAGAGACACAATACCAGCAGTGGCGGCCTTCTCGAAATAGACAAGAAGCCCAGCCCTCCAAACTCGTCCGAAAATAAAACAGGTTTCTTCCCTGCGAACTACACTGTCCAATTGGTCGCCTCTGTTAGAGGAGTTCTCTGATTAATCGACAATTAAAATGGCCACGATTTACAGTTTATCAACAAGTTTTACAGCGACGCATCAGTCACGATTTTTGTTCGCTACAGCAGCAGAAAAAAAACTACGAGCAACTGTGCAACCCATGAACAATTGTCCAAACAAACAGTGAAACACATATTTCTCTGGTGTATGTATTACGTTATCAAGGGCACGTTCACTGCTATCTGAAAAACAGCATTGGAATCAATAATTCTGAAAGTCTAATTATGTACTAACGTTAGATTTGTTGTGTTTTGCAATAAGCACTTTAAACAAATAAACAATATATAGTTATTAGTTGACTAATTACTTAAAATGAAAAGTCTAAACAATATGGAAAGTTGAAATAATAGAAATATGTACTCAATTGTTACTATCTTCTTGTAAACTATTTGATAAATAATCATTTGCTTTCCTTAGGTGGTTACTTACGTTTACAGATGCATAAACTCATTTATGGTAGACCTTGCAAAAAAATGTATTAGTATAATTATAACAATCGGTAAGATTATAGTTAGCTTTATTGCAGTCAATTTCTGTTGTTGACAACAAAATATGAGAGTATATACTACAATTTTAATAATTAAATTTAAGTCACGTCAACTGAAATACGTACATACACTAGATGCAATTACCAATACAAATAGTCATTTTGAGAGTCTTCTCGCATATGTTTCTTGTGTCTTACATCTAAAGCAACTAACTCCATTACACTTGCACCGTCGTCGTTTTGATAATCGTCCCAGTTCATCTTCTTTTTATTTAGATTTTTGAAATAATCGTCGTCATCATCTTCAATGTAATTATCTTGAATATCCTCATAATTTTTGTTTGAAACATTGTTCAACAATAAACGCCTTAAGGTATTTGCTTTCCTCTGATTTTTTTTTGACATACCGTTTGTCAAATCGTCGTCCTTATCAGCAGCGTTTCGTTTCTTCAAAGACTTCTCTAACGTATATTTAGGCCACTTTCCTTCTTTTGACATCGAATTTGATAATAATTTGAATAAAGGTGAACTCGTCGATGAAGTAATTGAACTGTGAAATTTCGTAGCATATTGGTTTAAATACAAATTTGAATCGTTAGAGTCATACGACAAAACTTTATTTTCGTGTTGCTTGATACTTTGTCTAAATATTCGAGAATGAATCCCTTTATACGTTTCGTTATTTTCACTAAATAATGACTCCAAGTCTCTAAGATTTCGTCTGTGTTTATTCAGCGTCATAGGTGTATTTTCAGTGACTTCTTCAAACAATGGCGCAAAAGTCGTTAATTCAACTAATAAGTCATTCACATCATCGCTTACAGCCATTGCATATGTTCCTAAAAAAAATGAATGTTAAATAATACTACAAAGTGAATGATCTATTAAATGAAATAAAAAATATTTAAGACTTTCATTACTATATAACAACGTAAAGTATCTGTATAACAAATGCTAATAATGGTTTCAAAAATAATTTTTGTGTATCAATTGTGTTCCGCTTAATGAAGAAGTGTATTATGTTTTATTATGGTAAGTAATAGAAATTTTTAATATTTTTCGTACTACAATAATCTTAGTGACATCTTATTTACCATTCCCACTAAATTTAATTTCTGTTTAATACATTTTCATATATACTTACTTGTCAATGCATTATTGTCAAATCCGAACACCAAATTAATAAACAATAACAAAAATATTTTTATTTTTCCGGTACACATATTAACCATATTATCTAAATTATCTCCGGAATTCCTCAAAAGCGTGCTGTTTATTCGATATTCCTGCCACTAATCTGACGAAAATGACTGTAGTTATCGCTGTATCCTACCTTCGGTCACGCAATGACAACAACGGTGTCGTTATTGAAAAACGATTATAATTATTTACACACAATCAGTGTACACGTTACGTATATTTAAAGGAATCAACTTACATGTAATGACTGAAAAACCATTGTATTTTTATATGATTTAAAAAGTTTATTTAATTTTATATTCAATCTTATAAATAATTTTATTTGCGATTTCTGTTATGAATGAATAGTTAAGAAAACTTGCTATAATATGTAATTTACGCGACAGGTCTAAAACCACTGTTTTCAAGAGGTGGCGTATTGTATGATGTATATAGGTATCTATTGAAATCATACGGAAAGTATTCAGGTATTTGTTCTCGAGAGAATTCGTTCGGAACAGAAGAGTCAAGAGACGGATTAACGTAATAATTATATCTGTCGTCTGAATATAAGTTTGCTGCTTTATCGTAAGGTAAATTGTAATTAATGGATTCGTAATTATGATACTTATAATCGTTGGACTCTGTAGTAAAATCGATATGATCTATGTTTTGCGGATATCCACCATAATATCCATAAAATGGTGGAATTGTTGTTTCGTTAATCTGTGTTGAATTGACCATATTATTCATTGTTGGGATAGTTCCATTTCCGGAAATCGTGGTATTGGTACTAGTCGCATTTTGCCTTGTTGTATTTGTTTGCCGGAAACTGAGAACTATATCTTCAACGTTTTCACGTTCCTTGGAGCTATCTCTCGATAAATTATCTTGTTTCTTCTTGAATCCTTTCTGCTCACTGCAGGGAGTTCCAGTTTTTAACATCTATTAATCGTTAATGTATTTATAATAAGACAAAAAATATATAATTAATATGAAAAATAAAGGATTCTAATAAGTTACTAATAATTAAAGTTTCGATTAAAACACGCAATCGCATCTTGAAAATGATAAAGTTATAGAAATTAATTTTAATAGTATTTTTAAAAATATAAAATAAATCTAAGAATCTAGTTTTTGTTTATAGTAAATTCAGAAAAAAAGTAATATGCAAAATATTCTCTACGTTTTTATATTATATATTTATCGCAATACACAATTATGAAAAATTTTAAGTACCAGAGATCTATCAAAATTTCGAAAAAATATTGTTATAATAATTTTCATATTATTAGTTATTTATCATATTTCCACAAAATTAATTATAATTGGTATGAAAAATAAATTCTACACTAATTGATAACAAATCTTTACATATTCTAACTATCCTTAAAATAAATAAAGTATTAAAAAAATCCTCTGGCAAAACAGCATGTATTTATCGCTCCAATCTGTACTTGTTCGTTTGACCAAATGCTTACCTTCTCTTCCACGTTCCGATTATTTTCAGATGATGAACTCTCAGTAGTTTCTTCTGGGACCGTGTTTGAAGGTTTCACATCTTCAACCTTCTTAGCCTCTTCTACGTATTCATCATTGTTTGATAAATCAGTTGGTTTTTTAGTCCCTATCGAATTCAACACTTGAAGATCATTTTGAAATCCAGGGGCTGTGTGTAGACCCAATGGACTTAACACAGAATATAATCCGAAAGGAGTGGCAAAGATATAAGGATGTGGCATGTAAGGATAAGAACCGTAAATCGAAGCAATCTGCGGTGAAACTCGAGAACCATCGAAATTTAAAGTCACTGGTGCAGGCTTAGCATACGTATTCACAGATGACGATGCACCTGTTAAACCACCTACACTTAAGCCAGCTAGAAACGCCAAACTGCTTAAGATTTTACTTTTTCTTATCGGAGAGTTCATATTTAGATTTTCAATTTTATTTAATTCCTCTGTCTTTGATGAACTTTGTTTCGGAAATAATATATTTTTCCATAATATTTGTAGTCCTGGAGTTTGAGTTTCATCGTACTTCGTACTTGATGTCCCCATTGATTTTCTAGTCGTCTCTATACTTTCTACTGTTGCGGTATTACAATGTAATACTAAAAAACGAATATAGCAATTAAACTGTCCGATGTCTTTATAAACCTTTCTTATTTATACACAATTTTATACTCACTATTATAACAAATTGTAGTTATAAAAAACACAAAGAAGTGTAAGAAATTCATTGTGACTGCACGATGCTCAACACGAGAGTGAAGAGAAACTAAAGAAGCTCTTTAAAAAAAATTTTAAACCTGCGGGTTGCCCTCATGTTTTACCGTGTGAAAGTGTGTTCCTTAGATACCACTAAAAATATGTTAATTATAGCAATCTAAGCTTCCTCATTAGGATATGTGGGTATCTGCTATAAAATGTTTCACATGCGGAAATGAGTATCTTTGTTTATTAACAATTAATTTATTATTATAAAAGTACCAATACAAATATTTGAAGTCATTTATAAATAAATATATATATATATTACAGACACAAATGATTGTTTGGTATTTAATTAATTTATTTAGAATATCAGGTAATATCATATCAACTTTCAAAATTGGCGGTTATGATAATGCATTGCGCACGCAGTTGGTTATTATTCCGCCATAGAAGATATATTCGCTTTTAGATACAGGTCAAATTTTCTCAAAAAATGACCGATATAGTTGAAGATAATATGAAATTGGATGAAAACGCTTCTGACTTAGGCTTTGCAACTCCAGAAAAACAAGAAGCTCGTGCATATCTGCGCGAACGATTTCTGCGAGTGGTTACTGGAATTGTTGGTATGACACCTTTCTTTTATTTAGTCTTATTTCTTTTTACTTTAGACATTATATGGTAAAAGTATGCTGTGTAGTACAAATTTATCATTATTCATTGGTTTCTGTTAAATGAATTCAATTAACCGTAAAATTATTTAAACATGGCGCCATCATCAAAGTATAGTTTCTGTGTACAATTTTAATAAAGAAAAATCGAATTGAATTGAATGTTTGTATATAAAAGTAGTAAAATACAATAACCCTGTTTGAAGCTATAATATATGCAATGAAATCTTTAATGAACTGTGTTTTAAGAGTTTAACAATTTTATCAAAAATTAGTTATGCATTACAAGTTGAATTATACATGTTACAGGTAAAGAAGCAGAATTTTATTTACATGAAAACACTCGTGTATGTGCCGAGTTTCGAGGTTGTGATATAGATTGCTTAGAAGTTTATGTACGTAATCTAGAAACACCATTAGGAAAGATTCCAGAAGCAGTTCTAAGAGCAAATGACATTATTCATATGGATGTGAAAGACATTGACGCTGCAGTATAATGTGTTTAATGAGAGGTATGTAATAATGTTACTTCTATTTTACATAAGAAATAAATTGTTATTTTGTAATGCATTTTAATAATAACTTATACAAATATTTATGTACAATTAATAGTTTAAGATCGTCGCATATTTAACATTGTATTTATTTCTGAAATTATACGTCGTAAGTGATCAATGATTTCCTTAAGATGTCTATTCTTTAATACCACTTGCTGAAAAGAATAAATACAATTTTACAACATATCAAATTTAATAATTCATTTTCTGTTTTGCATTTTAAATCATAACTCACCTCCATGACTTCTTTGCTATCTTCACAAGCAACTCTATAAGCCTCAGAAGTTTTTCTCTCATCAGATTTCATATCCCACTCTTCTTTTAATGGGATTAAGCTTTCTATGTGTGTGTATTCCATACCCTGTAGTTGACAGTTTTCATTGCATTTTTCATAAATCAGTCTTAAACGTTTGAATAATAATTTTAATGTTCTTAGTTGTTCCTGTACTTTATTCTTTTTCTCATTAGCTAAGCTTGCTCCTTGAGCCATGCCTAAAATTGTGACATTTATTAATAAATATGATCAAAAATAAGCTGTGGAAGACGCATTAAGTCAATTTCTATGTACCATTTGGTGGTTGTAAAAGTTTTAATGTTTGAAACACTTCTAAAGTACGGCTGACAATATCTTGAACAGTTTCTTGTCCAAATCTACATAAACTGGCAGTGTTAAATTCCTTAGTTTGTTGTTGTTGTGGTGGTGGCTGTGTAGGAGGCACAGGTGTTTGCGGTGTAGTAGCTTGATTATTTGCTTGATTATTTTGCTGTACCATAGCAGCTTGTTGTTGCTGTTGTAATTGTAATTGTTGTTGTTGCATCTGCTGCATTTGTTGTTGCATTGCAACAGATTGTTGTTGTTGCTGTTGTTGCGCTAATACCTGTTGAGCACTAGGCATACCCATCGCATTTGTACCTACACCACCGACACCGCCTACGCCGACTCCTACACCAACTCCAAATTGTTGAGGACTCACCATACCTAAACAAATTTTAATTACTCAACTTTACATATCATTTTCTTTTTTTCGAGTATAAATATACTCACCACCTTGTTGTGGCCCCATCAAACCAGATACCATTTGTCCTCCACCAAATTGTGTTCTCATTGCAGATTGCTGTACATTAGGAAACCCAGAAGGGAAAGGATGTTGCTGGCCCGCCATATTGTTTAAATTTTACAACTCTTTTACATTTATTAACATATGATAGCACAGGAAAGATTCATCAGCAAAATTAGAAAATTTTGAGGTTAAGTATCATTCTAATATTGTACGTTCAACTTTTCGGAATCCGAAAAACCAATTGTCATGAGATTTAATTTATTTTCACTAGTAAGTATAAAGGTAAAAAGACATTTATTAAAATGTTGACAAAATGTAAAAATTGTATCCTTGACACATGTGAAGTTGTAATCAATAATTTCTAGTAGAATATAATTTCACTTCTTATTTGAGGTTACACAGAAAATTCACCATCCTGCCATTAACAAAAGTGTAGCACGAAATATGCATATTTTCTTCGATTACGTGCAATATAAAGTGCACGTCTCACATATTACGTTACAAGTTGTTGACATCACATTGCGCACGTGTGTCGCGCTAGTAGCGTCCCCACATCATTTTACCGGCTTCTATTCGCATTAAACTGTTTTAAAATTAAAAAAAGTTTAGTAAGCAACGTCAATATTTACTGTAATACTAATTTTTCTTAAATGCCGAATTTTGAGTATCATACAAAATTCTCAAAATGCAGTTCCGCTTAGTTTGGAACGATACAACGCGAGGGCAGTAGTCTTCAGGTTCACTCACAGAAGCAATATAATATGGTATTATTATTAACGTATCAATGTTTTTGTATGTAATCATAATATATATAGAATAAACATTCATATTTTAATAACAAACTAAATTAATTTAACTTCCTTTTCCCTGTTTAATTCTGGTTTCTTTTCTAAAAATGAAACCTTTTGTAAACTAAATATTAATTTCATCAAATTTATTAAAATGTTCAATTCAGTACTGTTTATTTAAAAATATTCTCCACATGTTTATTGTTTCTGTTACATTGAATTTATTTATTATTTTCGTGAACCATAATATCATAAAGCCTTATACATATAATTATAATAATAATATAAATTTAAAATAAATGTATACTTTCTCGATAATTTTAATTGTGCATAAAAGACAGTTTCCTCTACTAAAATTATGAAAGTGTACGCTTCGCTTCGTTACGGATCAATCGTAACAGGAAAACATCTCTTACAGCACAGGATCAAAGTCAAAGTGAAATTCTTTAAGAGATAGGTCAGAATTTGACGGTGTTCGAACGGTACCTAAACAGGAGATAAGATCAGCGCACACGAAATGACCAGTATAGCCAGAACGGGCCAATCTTCTGTCCCCATGCACCTTGCTCGTCTGTGCGCTCACAGGAACATTGTTTTTTCCGTCGCAGTCAGTGTCCATCACGCTGTTGCGAGGACTGCTGTGGGCGAGAACCAGTCGCTCTACATAAGAAACGGTACCTGAACGAAGGGCAACGTGGAAAGTTGTTCATCCTTGTTACAATGCTTTGCGAACGATTTCTCTTCGTCATAACGTTGACGCGTGTTGTTTCGTTCTGCGGGGGTAGAACAATACAAGATCAAATACTTACATTTGATTTTCTAAGTAATAAATCAAAACCGACAGATGTACTTGTGAACGAAAGTTACAAATCCATGGTAATTGGCCATGACCAATTTACAAATAAAACAGTGAACAGTGATATTTCATCAAAATATACCAGTGAAAAGAAACAAACGGCATTGAACGGAAATAGTCACGTCCATGAGACATGCCCTTTCAAAAGTAACATAGAATGTTCAATTTTGTTGTCTTTGTCAAAAATAGCGAAAGTCGATGTGGCTGTTCCAGATCAAACTAGTCGTGGTATGAAAACAACAGCTTTTCATAGCACTTGGAAAGATGCCGAAAAATTAAATCTCAATAAAAAACTAAAAGGGAATGAAGGAGCACATTTCGTTGGACAACAACATTTCGAGACTGTTTCGAAGAAACAAATGAAATCGCTGAACGTCCACTGTCGCGCGATCCACGAAGTTTACATACCAGAAGCCAAACAAAACCTGCCAGCTTTTGCTTGTAAATTTGGAAGTAATACTTTTATTTTGACGAGTACGAGATTTCTCCAAGATCGTCGTTTAAATTTAGATATAAATGTCAATGAAGATATTTTTAAAAATGTGAAACGTGCTCGAAAGATTTCCAGAGGCAACAAACTGAGAGTGCTACCAGCTTTACTAGTTTTAAATGTCCCCAACAACGATTACAGAATAGAGGCGCGGGATTTTACTTCTGACGAAAGAAAAGTCGATTCGGATGAAAAGAACTGATAAGAAATCACCGGAACGCACTAGTCAGAAAATCCTATTGCGAAGGAAGTTTGGGTACCCAGTGATAACATTGAGTTCATTATCTTTCGTTTGCTAAACGAGATATACAAACAATGTAATTGTATTTACGTCATCCGTTGTAATGTTTATAACTGAATAAATTAGTTTTCTCGATTTTAACAAATCGTCAAACATTTTATTTAAATTCAATTCTTAATAAATTACATGCTTAAAATTGTAATACCGTATTATATTTGAGAAACGTTACAGTGCAATAATATATATTCTACGTATATAATAATACTTTATATAGAATAATATCAATAACTTATAATAAAGTAATTTGACTCTTAATACTTGGCAATCAAAAATTAACTCGTACGATCTACTAAACAAGTATGTATCACAAAATTCTAGAGCATTCGTATTGCTATAAATAAGTTTCACTATAGACAGAATATTTGCTTATTTTGATTTCTCTTCTAAAAATTGATTCTCCGTCCGCTCCATTTCTAGTTGATGCAATGTTTCTGGTGGAGCAGTCATTTTTTGAACGTTCGATAATACGCTCGGAAGCGGTAGCTCTTTCGTAGGCAATTTTTCATCTACAATTGTAATCACAGGAATGTCTTCTTTTGTGGAAGATTGTGAGATGTCCTTAATTAAAGGAGGATTCGGCTCGGTCAGCCTATCGACGATAACTTGATCTGCTTTCACAACTGAATTATGGGTTGGTGGGTTATCCTCTTTACTCAGTTGCTCTGAAGACAGCTCAGGGAGGCTTAATTTGAATCCGTGTTTTTCCGCTTGTTCCTTTATTTCAATTTGAGCTTTTTTTGGAAAGTCTTTTTGTTCTTTTGTTACTGGAACGACCTTAACAGTAAAACGAAAATTTCAGATGTAAGTTTGGTTTTAATTTTATTATTTTGGTGTTATGTTGATTTGTGAAAATCTGTGGTAATTTGGTTTCGATTATTAAAAAATTTGGAAGCTTAAAACTTTTTTTTTCTTCATTATTTAATGTCGCATCGATTACTTGCTTATTAGCGACATAAAAATAAAACCTTTTTCAATTAATTGCTTGCCTTATAATATCAAGACCGACTTATAGTAGCGATTTCATAATTTTAAAAATACAAATATTATTCATTTATTTTAAATATAAATCAAATATTTTGAAAAATAAAAATATTAAATTGATATAGATAAATTAAAAATTTTAATGAATATGGAAATCATTTATTTTGTATCAAATTATAATACCTATTTAAGCAGTCTTTGTAAATACAGTATAAGAGAGGTTGTAAATAAAGTGGTTAAACAACCAAAAAATACGAAAACTAGACATCCACGGTTAGTAAAGATAAAAGTATTAAGAAATAAAGCATTTTTGTATTGCATGAATAGTTGCTACATCTATGAACACATTATTTGTTATTATTTTAAAATTTCAAGGAGCAAAATATCATTGTTCGATTAATTATAATACTTGGTATAACTATAAATATAATTGGTCTGACGATTCTTAGAAGATGGGGTAATTTAGAACTCCAAATTTTCGAAGGAATAGAATATTTTGTTTTAAATAAAATTAACAGAGTTCAATAGTCGAATAAGGGTAATAAATGGACAATTTTTTAAAACATTTTAAGTATGAATGAACGACTTCAATGTGCTGTTTACTAATTGAAGTTATTTAGTTAAATTTTACTTCTACAAATTTTCGATAGATTTTGAAAGTGCAATAATTAGAAAAAACAAATATATTTTTCAGTAGTTACAAAATATTATTTATAGTCCTTTAATACCAATAAGATTAAATAATTTGTAATGCATTCGACAAAAAGTTAATATTAAAAAATAACACTAGTTTAAAAATGCATTAAAAAAATTGACTTGTACAGTTTTGGTTTACTGAAAAATAATATAATATATCTGAATGTAAGCAAGCGGCAGTGAATATATTTCGCTTATATAAAATCTTGTGGCAGACTTTATACATAACTCTTGCCATTCTTGTCGCTCATAAGTCATGTGTATCATGCAGCAAAGATCAGTGAAGTACTGTGTATACTTGACAAAGAAATAGCATGAAATACTTTTGGAAATTATTTAACTACATACAGAACAAATATTTGCAAAATGGACGTTTCTTCATGTGACAGCAAACGATGAAAGGTAATTTTTCAGTACTAAAAAAAATGATTTAGGAAAATCATTAGACGCCCGTACAATTGAACATGACTTGGCTATTATGTCATGATTTCACGTAATTTGCAAGAACCTGTTGCAATAAATGTTTATGACTTTTATGATAGATGGCCAGATATAATAACGGAAAACACGAGAGGTATGTCTTATTCAGTCGTATTCATAAACGACGCACCTTATTTAGAAATTTCATTGCATTTACTAAGATAAGATTGCATTACAAGTATATCATACTTAATAAAAATTACCATAACATAGAATTTCAAATTTTGTTATTTACTAAGTTTAATGAAATCTGTATGATTGTATCTGGAAAGAAATAGTGAATATCCACAGAATACCGATTTTACCATAATTTAGAAATTGAATACACTTCAGCATCCAAGTCATTTATTAATTCTTTAAATAATATTCCTTTAGATTATTAATATTTTCGAAGATATTCACTATATGACGTTTCATTCAACAAATTTCAAGCAACTGTCTTCTTTTTAGCGTTGTTAATGAAATTACAGAGATGTGTATCATAAGTTTATGCAAAATATTTACCGCGAAGTGTCAATTTACTGCTATTAATACGGTATGATACAATGACTTAAAAGGACAATCGATTTGATGAATCACCGATCTCATCTTCAGATTAGCTATTGTATGCGAACATCTATTGAAAAAATATACATATACAGAATCTACGAACCATGTATATTTAGCTTGGTGATGGTGTTTCTTGGAACTGTCACGCTGATTATTGTTGGTGTGCGTACAATCGCCGTGACATACCATTCATTCTTGTCAGTAAAAACATTTTAGGTGTTAACGCGAGACTTTCGGAATTAGTCAATTCGACGAATTTCAAGTTTCGCACTTAATATTATAGAAATTATAAATATAATTTTTTAGTGAATCGTTTAATCGTACCAACAAAATTTATTTATCGGGTAGAAAAATGTTTAAGGAAGAAGTTATTTGGCATTAAGAGTGGAAATTACGGTTGACGAAAATACGGTTAGTTTGATTGACACCGAATAGCTTTCTATATTTAATAACTATAACTATAACTATATATATATATATTCTTTTATTTTTAAAAATAAAGATAAAACTGTTTTTCATTTGAAACATATTCTCCTTCATTGTGTACCTATAAATTGTCTATCTACACATTATAATTACTTTAAAAAGAATTCTGTGTGTTTATCTTTATTTTTAAAAATAAAAGAAATACATATAAAAAACCACATTATTTATGGGATGACCCAATATACATGTGATGAAGAATATAATCAGTGTCCTTAAATCTAATGTTAAATATTTAAAACGTCGAATCAAAAGGTTACTTCAAATTAACGAATGAAAATATTTACCTTTTTTACTGTATTCGCGGTTGCTTCGAGTTTTAACGGTTCTTCTTTGGCAGCCTTTTTCGTTGGCTCTTTACTTTTCTCGTCTTCCGCGGGGAAATTGTTCTCCGCTTTTCTAACGCGTATAGCCTCTACATTGTTTTTATTTGCTTCCTCTTCCTCTAAACTAATATCTGTGGGACCGTTAACATTAGCTAAGTTGGTGGCCTGTAATGCAATGTCCAAATACTTAATTCACTATGAAAGAAATTTATTCTAAAATTTTGAAATATTGTACTTATCCACCCGGTTAAGTTTATCGCGATAAATATAATATTTTAACACGTTCGCTACCAGTGTCACGTATTTGTAACGATCAGCATTTCATATTTTGTCGAAGGAAGAGTAAATTATATCTAATGTTGCAACGCATAGTGCAATGTGCACGAAGTCGAGGACATTTCTTTTCTTAAATATTATTTGTATTTTGTAAAGACGATATATTTTATGTAATAAAATATTGTAATCATGAAAGCTGCTATTGAAATAAATGCTCGTAGTAAACGGGTTAAAAATACCAGGTGTTACGTAGAATGGCAAGATGTTAGCTGAATGAAATTACTATTAACACTAGAACTACTGTGCCAGTCAAAATGACAGGTTTCGGTTTTCTTATTTCGCAATTATTGATATGTTAAAAATATTCAATATGCTAAATGATTTGGAAAATAAATAGTTTCACTTCAATATTGTAATGAATATCTGAAGAAACCGAGAAAAATCTATTGTTACCATTTTCATAAGGATTACATATCAATCGTATTAAATACTCGATAGTTTTAGTGTTAACGATCAGTGAAATCCTTTTATGAACAAATATGTAGTCATAAAGTTCTTTGAGCAATAATTCTTCAACGATTTATATTGATATTGCTATTTTCAAATAATGTCCAACACTTCGTTGCCAGTAATTATGGTGAAGATAAATAGTTTACAATGTTTCGTTATACTTTAAATTAAAATATGACAAATTACCTTTAATAAGTTCGGTTCTTCGTGAAACGCTTCCGCTAACGCGGGATTTATTTCTTCTAAAGGCTGATCCCCATGTCTTATATACACTGGAATATAACCTGGGATGCTAGGTAATATTTGAAGTGGATAAGAATCTACAACATATTTGAATTCAATCACAAATATGTTGAAATTTATTACGAATAAGTATGTGAACCGTTTAAACTTTTATTCGATAAACGAAAACAATCTTTAATTCTAAATACACCTAATTCTGATTTTTCACGATAGAATCGTTCCGTGAAAAAAATATACTGTACCTATGAAAAAATAAAAATTGGTTACAGACCTAAGAAATCAGCAAAATAATACAATAATTTTATGAAAATTCATGTCAGAACTTGACTGATCATGTTTAATCAAACCAAATTGTGTGGAGAAAATAAATTATGTTCTAATTTGTGTTAAATCAAACAAAGAAAATAATTCGGGTTGAGCCAAAATTGCGTAAAAACAGAATTCGGTGTACATATTTCCAGAATTATTTAATTGATAATTCGATATCAATTCTTATTCATGCAAAGAAATATTTGGTTAACGAAAAGGAAAATAAATGACTAAAGTAGCTTCCTACTTTTAAATTTAATAAATTAAGGAGACATCACTGTTTGAAAATTTTTAAAAGTTCTCGTTATACACGTTTGTTAATCGATATTTTAGAAACAATAGAAAGCATTCCAGTAGAAATTCTGTGAAATTATTCAAATTTGATCGAGTTCGTTGGTTCGTTCAAAACTTTAAATGGGATTTTGGTGAAAATATTGTTTTCTTCACTGTAAGTATGTAACCCCAAATTTCATTTAACCAATGCACTTCAAATAAGATTTTATATATGTTAATGGTACTTTTTCTTAATCAATCATAATTTTTAAGTTATAATGATAAAAAGTAACTTTTTTTTTAAACTTAATTGTTCCTTTATCAACTTATCATTACTTTAATTTTGAAAAATGATTCAGGTTACACATAACTGTTAATATATTAATAAAAAGAAACTTTATGTCTATTTCGATGTATCTGTGTCAAATATGGCATCTACTGTGTAACCATCTAAAATTAAAGTTTTCCTTTACACATAATTTTTGAAAAAAGTTGTTTTGAACTCAAATATTTTATTTAAATATATTAAACTACTATATCAGTACAGTAGTATAGTAAATAATTTTTTATTGGTTCATTCCATTGAAAAAAGTCTAAATAATGTACCTACTCCGCGTTGCTCAGGAGAAGAGCACTGAAAGGAATTTTCCAAAGAAACGCATTCTCCAAACAGTTATGCCCCTTTAATTTAAAAAAATATTTGTATGCCATTTTCCAATTACAGAACTCACAATAACAATAAGTAATAGCAAAAAATAGTGAATAATTTAATAAGCGACTCATGATTAACATAATAAGCTATTAAAATAATAGTACAGATGAGTAAGTGACTTAAATTCTCATCTAAACTATCAGCGTCTATATCGTTCACATTAAGGTATCTTATACTTCAGTTGCAACATTAATCATAAAAAAAAATATCACACGATAATACCTATTGACATTATAATTCAATAAATAAATTTGCATCTCATTCGATCGAACAAATTTCAGAAATAATGATGTAATTAATATTCTACACACATTTCCCTCCTACCGCCTATTGCGTTCGCATACTTGCTTTCCGTGATAGCAATGTTCCCATAAACGCGGAAGTATTATTCATCGAAAATCAATCACAAATATTCCCAATCGCACACAAACAGTTTTGAGGGGAATGCTGTTTCCACAATGTAACACTTGCCCCGGCGGTGATTAATGAACACCATGTAGATTTTGAATCACGCTCAGTTACGCGGGAGTTTCGAATATTCCTGTTACTCACGGACATAACCAATAGCGAGAGATATTAGGAACACAAGATGGTAGACCCTGGTACCACACAGCATCTCAGCAGCCTGCATCTTTGAACGGTACTGAGCCCCCGGACCGCGGGGCTTCCTCCTTTATATGTGCAGTCCCCTCTACCCTTCGGTCTCTACTCTCTACCACGAAGAGGTCCCTCGGGGTTAACGACGTTCCGTTAATATCGCAACAAAAACTCAAATCTTCCTTTACTTTCGGCAATCGAAACCGTGGCTATTAGGATACCCTTTTTTCTTGGAAACTAACCGGTAATTTAGCTGCACCAACTTTCATCCTGTTTCCAGGATTCAGCATGGACGATGGAACTATTCATTTTTGTACTTAAAGTGACCACCCAGGAACACCGAATGCTTTTAAAACATGCATTTAACTTAATAAACGATTGAAGATCGTTTTCGTCCTTTTGGACACGACCTTTAGGCATCGTGCGCTTCGAACAAAAGAAGCATTCTTATATTTGACGGATATAAGTATAAATATACTCAAAGTTTAAAACACTTTAATTTATTATTCTCTTATTTCTCTCATTTATACGTTTATAAATCAATTATAAATAAATAAATATGAATAAATAGTTATTTAAAATGATTATAAATAAATTATATTTTTGGGAAATAATAATGACACAAAATGTTTTATGCATTATCATATGAAAACATATTTTGTAATACATATTTTCGAAAATTTGAATTATCTATTTCGTTTACGTTTCGGTTAAGGTGATAGATTTTTAAATCTAGTAACATCAGAAACAATAAATCTCGATGTAATTATATTTCTAAAGAAGTTGTTATATTTATGATAAATTTATATTTCAATTGTACAATTAAAAATGCAAATGAATTTCTCACATTAATAATCAATTTAACTAACAATTACTAGTAACAGATATATCTACTATACTACTTCAGTTTTTTTAATATACCGAATACCACTATCAACCATAAAATCGATTTAGAAATTTTGGATTTGTTTATTATTTATAAAGCCACCTTTACCAAATACTACTGAGTTTATATACTTTAACAATTTCATAAGGATTAATGTTTCTACCCATTTGTTTCCACTAATGTAACATTTTATTCCTATAAATGACGTTTCAATTAATACTAAATAAAAATCCTTGACTTTAGAAGTATGTAAATTATTCGTTTATGCCTAATATTTACTGTATAAACATCTAAATCCAAATTTAAGGCTCCCAATTTAAACATACTATTAAATGCAAGATGATTGATGGTTTCAATTACTTCACTATACGCGTACCTGCACAATGAAATTAGAGGCATATGGTAATTAATCAAATACTGTAATATATATTTAATGTAACTTGCATTATTTGTTTAGTTTTGTCTGTTGCATTAGCAAAGATTGCGTATCTTATAATTTTGCAAATCAATTCTTGATGACTACACAACAGTGCACATTGTATAATATTATAATAAATAATGTAAACTCTGGGAAAATGACCAGGTTTACGTATCAGTGCATAATTATTCATATTAACCTTTCTAAAGCACTATCATTGCATAAAGTATTGGCGAGTTTGAATACAACAGAAAATGAAATTTCGCATAAAAAAACTCATTACTAAAACTTGTGAATTTTACTATAGCAAAAATATATACAAGGATTAAAATTGATTTCATGCGTCATGCATGATTTCAAAAATCCCTCTTCGTAAACCGAAGAAAGTAGGTCGGAAGTGTAATATAACGAGTATTATTTTTTAAATTCCACTTTTTTCTTAACATAAAAGGAAAGCTTTTTATTCGGGTGTTACCTGTTCAATTCCATTTAATTTACTGGTGCTCAAAAATCAAGTGAAGAATATAATTCAAAGTGAAATTAAAGAAGGTCCCTCGTCCATGAACGGCACGCCACTGTAAGAACAGATTCGTTCTCTTCGCACAGGTAATCATACACCGTCAGGTTGCGAGAGATCTTCGACCTTGAATCTTCTTCTTCCTGATCGTTCATGTGAGTTCGATTCGAAGAGCGTCAGTGTGTAAATTTTACGAATTGAAGGCCAGTTTTATATTTGCTTGATAAAGACAGATAAATCGTAATATTAGTTTTTCTCAATGAAATTTATATATAATGTTTACAAATATTGAATGGATTACAGTCACATTCTATAGTCTTTCAAATAAATTATGGTCACATTCTACAGTCTTTAAAATAAAGGAATGGTTGCAGATAGCATGGTATATAAAATATTTACTCCTGATTAATATTTGCACGCACCTTTGTTTGAATAGCTAATAATAAGTACATGGTACATTCGTGTACATTAGTTTATAATATTTAACAAATTAAATTTTCTAATTCGTGTTTGACGTAGTGAAACTCTTCTTAAAAGAAATAAATCTTTATTAACTTCTCATTGTTTGGATTAATATTTGAAAGTATAAAATTATCTCTTTAAAAAATAAAATTTTGTCTTAGTATGGCATGCTATTTGGTATGTATTTATTATAGTAAAACAATAAGTGATTCAATAAAAGGAGAAATTCCGGTAAATATTAAATATTTGTTCTTCACTTTTGTTGCTTATGTTTTACGGCTATAAAGTTAGTAGCTCTGCGATACTGTTAACAGTACTGCATATACTTACTTCAATATTTCCCAAACAAACGTCTGTGCATTCATAATTTAAATCATATTTTTGTAATCATTACCAAAATTATAAGATATCGGTGGCTATTCTGAAAACAGTAGCGATGTCAATGATAGTTAAATTATGGTAAAAATAACAAATATATTTATAAAGTCTAAAAACTAAAGTAATTTTTGTGAATATGTTGTGAAAACGTGATTTATAGTTTTTGACTAAACAAATGTTTTATTTATTATTTTAACCATAATTTTTTAACATTAAGTGCAAATTATTAGGACGATATGTTCACGAAATGTGTTCATTTGTTTACAAGAATACTATTTATACTTACATTGTACACTTTAAATTACATACATAAATTGGACATTTATTCGTAAAAATAATTAAATTATGAATCTCTAAGTTTCCTTGACTAAATATTTCGTGCAATTATTGTATGTCCACTTAACTAATTTCGGTCCAGTTATTTTATAATGTGTTTATCCTGAAAAATACAATTTACTGAGCATCTTATATTTTTGATACATTATTAACTTTGAAGTAATTGCGAATTTATTACAAATAAATATTTATTTATCCCTAAATATCGCTTTATCCCTGTATCTCATGCTTTTAAATACTCTGAATGAATAAAACTTATAAATTAAAGCGTAACTTACTATAGAGAACTAAATTAACCAGCTTTTAGTAAATATTCAACGAAAGTTCAATCGAGCACATATCAAGTTACAATTTAAAAACTAAAAATATTATTTTGTTAATAAGAATACTGTAATACTCAATACAGCTTAGAAACTTACGTAACGGTAACGAGAACCTGCATCGGTCTTTTCTTTTTTTACAAAACTGGTCTCGTTTGTTTACATTACGGTAGTTTCGATACGTGCAGCCGATGCGAACTATGAAAAATTAAATGAAATATGTGGTCGGCTTAAGACCATTAAGTATTATGTTAAATTACACAATTTTAAAAATGCAAATTATTTCCAAACACAATCGAAATCGGATTAACCCGAATGTAAATTTTTTTACAGATACCATAGCACGCGGAGAAATAAATCTCTGTTCAATTTTGATGTAGTTTTATTGTTAAGAATAAAACCCCTGGGGCCAATGATGTATCCTGGATGAAAGGTCAGGATCACCGCATAGCACAAGGATTCACGTGTTCTTCTTAAATGAGATCTTTCCACTGCATCGCAACGACTAACACGTATGGAGACATCTGTTTGATGTTGTTATGATACAACACGAGATTTAACTCTTATCACTCCAAGAACATCGCAGCACGATTGCCAGTTGCTCCAAATAAATTTTGTTAATATTAAACCTGCCAGATGGCTCAAAATAACCTATTCCTAATGTCTTCTCTTTGAAATTATTCAAAAGATAACAGATGTTTCTCTGAGAAATTATTAGAGAAATTGATGTAACAATGCTCAAACTGAACTGAAAATCAATTAAAGTCTGAACAGCCGCACTCTTGGAGTTTCTATAGAGGAATTTCAAAAAGCGGATTTAACTGCTCGGTTTTAGTGTTAACTTCGGAGAGGAAATTCAATTGTAAATGTTGGATAAACATAAAATAATATCAAAAAATAGGAAATTAACAGTAGTACTACGGAACATTTAATACGATTGATATGTAATCCCTATAAAAATTGTAACAATAGATTATTTTCAGTTTCTTCGGACATTTATTATAGTATTCAACTGAACTATTTATTTTTCAAGATCATTTCGAATATTCAATGCTTCGAAGATATCAGTAATTGCGAAACGAAAAAAACCAATCATTTTGCCTGATACAGTAGTTCTAGTGTTAATTTTAGTGTTAATTGTATCCGTGCTTGGCAGTGAGCCTGCCGGTTGAAGTGATAAGGGTTAACGTGTTTGCTACCTGCGTCATACGTAACTGGTCCACAGGAGTATTTAACCTGTTAACTGCATTTGTCGAGTATACACGTCATCATAAAGCTTGACATGATACTAATTCTGTCAGTAATGAATTCTTTATTTTCACAGATAAACATGTAATTCTTCTTTGTTTTGCTTTGGATTTTCATTAAAATATACCCTAAATGTATTCGACATGCGCTTGACGGGTACACGCTTTATTTCTTGATTTTAATGCGCGCAAAACGAGAGATTTTTTAAACTAAATTCAATAGTTAACAGGTTAAAATATGGACGAAATGATTCACCTGATAAGAGCATTCTACCTCAGATGTACAATATATTGTTCGATTCCAATGAAATTTATACACGTGATCCATATGTATGTCGTGTGCATCACACATACAATAATTTTTGAATATTTATTATTCTAGAGATTCTGTGTCCATTTCCATTGTTTATCATATTTGAAACACTTCCGTGGACTGGTGTATACTTATAACGAACATAGTTCTGTATTTCTTATGAAGAAAACCAGATTAATTATATGTGTATTTTTATTCAAAATTGTAAAACAGTGCAACAATTAAGTTTTCACGTTATATAAAGTTGTGATGCTAATATTTAATAAAATACTCTGCCTGTAAAAACTTTAACCGAAATAAATGAACTAATTGCAAATGTTTAGTGCTACATATTATATAAGGTATAGCAAAAAACGTTTATTATATCGTTGTTTCTCGGAATAAATTTATATGTTTTGTTATGGATTGTTAACTTTTGAATCCAATAAACGTTTACTGAGCAAATGAAATGCTTACCATAACACTTTAAGTTTATAAAGTGTATTATGTGCGTGTTTATCTAAAATAATATGAAATGCTTAATACTGATGATTAGCAATTCCGATTACAAGTAATCTTGACTAGATGTATAAGAGGAAAACATGACACACAAACAGTAGATTTACATTAGAATAAAAAGAAAATCTGAAACAATTGAAGTGTTTGGATACTTCTGTTCTACTGTAATTCAAAATTTAATGTTGATTTGATAATGATAGAAGATAGAGATAACGTAAGTAGGTATGAACATTTATCATATCTCCGTATTTATTCTCTTTATTTCTTGATAAATTATTCTTATTTTTGTCAAACATGTTATTCATTTATTATTAAGGTAGGTACTAAATACTCCTCATTTTTTTTATTAAACTTCGAAAACACACATGGATATTTACTTAAACTTTGATAAAAAGGTGATTTTACAATGACATCAAACTGTAATACTTATGAAATAGATATCTATTCTTTTGGAAGACTTAATTGTTTATAATATTATTTTTGGTATTGCCTTTCTTCTGTAGATTTAGTAGTTATTAATAAACCTAATGAACATCTGAAATTTTTATAAATTAAAATAAGTATCATTTTTAATCTGTGTAACCTTAAATTCTTTTCTGTGTTCTAACATATAATTTAATATAATAGTGAATGTGCAACAGTGAATATATATTGTTTAAAATTTCTTTCCTAATTTTTAAAAATTCGTTTCATTATTAAATTGAACAATAAGATTTCTTTCACTTTAGCAATCTTTTACTAAAAACTAACACTATTTAGAAGTAGTAGTTCATTTTCATTTGGATACTTTGTTTTCTTCCCTAATAGTTATTTTAATTATTTTCTATCAAAAAATTAATTTTTCGTTACCATTAATCTTTTTACTGCTGAAATATAATTTCATGCAGAATTGAAATACTTACTCACCAATAAAATATTTACAAATATATATTTTGAACAATTGAAAGAGACTTAGGAAAGTAGCAGAACTAAAATAAAAAATGTCACATTTTTCATTTTAAGTTCACACTATCAAATGTATTGTCACTCGTAAAACGCTTGAAAACTCAATCAAAATTAATGAACACGCACAACGTTTATCGACCATATGGGAATAGTAATTAAAAATTGCGTCACTTTCCATTTTACATTGCTCGCACCGGTCAACTCTATTGCATGACTAGCAACGTATCATCGATCGACGTCCCCTTTTCCGCTTATGCATGTCAAAGAAGGATGTAAGTGAGTAGCCACCAGATAGTGTATTGCCGGATGTGGATGCATGCATAATTTCGCCTATTGACACAGTTCAAATTCAGGTTTAGTAGGTCGATCGGAAACTCTTTTCACGTTATTTTGGAAGAAAAAAAGGTTGCCATTTCCTAAATTGCACGCGTTATCACAACACGTACCATTCACCTCGATTTAAAGTAACGACAAGGAATACTTTTATGGAAAACCGGTTTCACATAAATATTACCTGTCTCTTTATTAGTCACTGTGCATTAGCAGCAACATGACTAATTAAAAGAAATTTATTTACCAATTGATCAACATGTTGTCATTTTTATTCACTATTGCTTCGCGGAAATCATGTTTCAATGATTACATTGTAATCTGTTTTGTTAGTATAAAACAGATGTAATTTTGTTTTGGCTACAAATCTGATTATGATTTTATATAACACATTATTAAAAATCATTAATTAAGTATTAAGTTTAAGTATAATTTTTACAGTTTGTGATATATTTGTTATAAACTAAACATGTTTAGAACTTGTTCAAAATGAACCATAGACGACAATAAATTATGTTTTTATTTTATTTTAATTTAAATTAAAGAGTAAATTGAATTTACACTTACAATAAAGGTTGTTTCCACTTAAAAATTATTATCAGTACACATTAGAAAAAACTCAAGTTTAAGTTTTTGTACTATAACTTAACTAATTCTTAATAAAAATCAAACTTAAAAAAAAAGAAATTTGTAGTAAAAATAAGACTTAATGAAAGGCTATAAACTGTTTCTCTAAATTTTATCACAATGATTAATTATTTGCATAAACAGAAAAGTAATAAATTGCAATATACCAAATATTATCGTATAAATATATAATACATTATAAAATCTAAATAATTAATAATGCTGATATAAAGCATTTAGGTGTGACAAAACTTTTAATTAGGCATGTTTACAAATGTCACAAGCAAAATAATTATTCTCTTGATCAGTACACTCCAAGTACTAAAATGTCCAATCTATGCACTGCACTCAATATTCATTAAATGACTCTGTAAATGTCACATTCGATAACTTTTTTATTAAAACACAGTTTCCTCCTTCATAATATATTATTTTTTACTTATTTTTTCCCTAACGTTCTTTCTTCTTAATATTTTCATGTTCCTTTAGTACTTTCTCAGTTTTCCCTATTCTCATTTTTCCTTCACTAATCTGCTTCTTGTTTCTTGAACATCTTTAATACAATATTTCAAGTTTCTAATTTAATATAAATTAAATCCGTTATAAAAGATTGCGAAATTAGAATTTCCTATTGATGAGCCTATCTTACAGCCATTTTCTTTTCAATCAATATTTTCGAAACCGCTTTCATGTTGTCTTCCCTTTTCATCTTCAATTTCGTACGTTTCTGTAAAGAAACATGAAATAAAAAACACAAAAACTTTAATGATAAAAAATTTATTTTAATTTCATCCGGCACTAGGCGACTATGAAGTGTTAAATACTGTACGACAAACACGTCAAGCACAAAAAGGTTTAGATTCAATGCATAATACACAAAATAAATCTCAAAAACTAGGATAATTATATAAACCTAGCAGTCTATAAATACTCTACGTAATACAACAAAATTACTTACTTAACCGGAAAATAAGAAATCAGCTATGAAATATAACCTTCGTTGTATGAAATTCCTGCGCGAACGTTATGTGCCTTGTGTTCCCAGTATTTTTAACCAGTTAACTGCGTTTGACAAGTATAAATGTCATCTTAAAGCTTGAGATGATACTAATTCTTTCAGTGATGAATTATTTATTTTTTTCACGTAAAAATTTAAACTAATTAAGATTAAAGAAAACCACGCCGGAATACAGTGTTAAAAACAATACTAGTTATTTGATTCTATATCAATGATATAGATGACTAACGGTAAAAACGAGAACTATCTCTGACTGGTACTGTACGCTGCCCGGTACAGTATGATTCTCCCCTATACATTATTAAAGCAATAACAAAAATATCTGCTATTCAATAGAAATAGCGTTAGATCTATCAATATACGTTTCCTTATAGCCTGCCTTATATCTAAACTATTTAACAAAAATATCTCTCAGTTTATATATTTTCTAATTCGTAATACACTATCTCAACTGTCTTTCAGGCTCCCCTTATTTCACACTACTCCCCGTGCAATAACTTAACGCAGTTTCCGTTATTCTATCTTGAAATCGTTGGCACGTAGAGTGGAAAGTAAGATTCAGTTAAAAATAGACATGGGAAAACAGGTGTTTAAGCGAGTCGTATCGTTGAATGTTTCCAGATCAGGTGAAAATAATTCGATCACTACCTGTTTTACACGCGGAACACGACTTGAGGAACGCGATACAACTAGATCGGTTGCAATTGCCAAACAGGATGTTCCAATTGCATTACGAGCTGTCAGAAGTTGTCATTGAAAGCTGTGTCGTAGATCTTTCGTTAATCGAAGTAACACATTAGGGGATCGGATATTTTCATAGCTGCAAACCCGGCAGCTACTTCCCACGAGTAATTCCGTTTTCGTAAAAAAAGAACATTTCCATGGGAACGTGGATAGATCCAGCGCTGTCCGAGCTTTCCGTTCGTTCTCTCCGTTGCTGGATGCAACCGGTTTCGTTTACGAGCCTTAACACCGGCGAGGATTGAATTAAAGCCCCGTCGTTCTGTAATCACAGACAAACTTAAGTCATTCCCGATCAATTCCCGCAAAAGGAAAACCGGAGTATTATAAAAATCTCCTGCGTTCTCCGGACGATATTTCACTTGGCTTATCGCGGACATGATTAGTATCGGTATTTGTCGAAGTGACTCACGATGAAGCCGTGCCGATTTTCCATTCGCTTTCTCGATGACTACGTTACTTGGGAACACTCACGTCGACCGTGGTCCGATGACAATTGTATAAATCATTCGACGTAATGAATTGCGATTCAACGTGGAAGTACTGCACGTTCTTGCACCGATAAGAATGTAATTTATGAAAATTGTGATTTCTCGCGAGTGCCACTGGAATTTCGATAGGTTTGCGCTCAGAGCGCGGAGAAAAAGCGATACGTCTTAATTTGTTTAACGTATTGCTTCATGTTTTAAAACATATCTTAACACTGAAACTACCGAGCAGTTAAATTGACTTTTTGAAATTCCTCTATAGAAACTTCAAGAGTGCATCTATTGACACTATAATTGATTTACAATTCAGTTTGCGTATTACTGAATCAATTTCTTTATTAATTTCTCAGAGAAACATCTGTTACCTTGTTAATAATTATGAAATGCTGAAATCTAGAACCGGTCATTTTGAGCAGTCTGGTAATTTTAGTGTTAACTTATTGTTCAAAATATTGTTTCCTTATTGTCGGCATTTTGTACTTATTAGTAACTATTGAAATTATCTCATTTATTATATTATACTGCAATTCATACATGTAAAATTAGTAAATGGGTTGTAGAGATTAGTCTTTTATTCAATTTTTATTTATGTTCCCAAATTTCAATGAGATTTGTTCATATACATAAATACTACTGAAAATAAAATAAGTTTTGTGTATTCTAATTTTTTTACTTTACCATCCTTAAACAATTTCAAATCACGAGAACATTTCTTCTTAATTATTCTGTATAATTCAATATATTTATAATTAAGCTTACATTTTTTCTTCATGAATTATACTTCACACTATGTAAATTCCAGCAGTTTTTTGTTATTATATTTTCTTTTTAGGACTCGTGAAGAATTTAAACGAAATTTAGCACGCATAAATTTTACTCGATTCTTTTGAATTCAAATTAAATATTATTCTTCTGTCATCAATTATTCTGTTTTAAAGCTGATATGGATCTAAAATGTACCTAAAATTTTGTTCTTTTTCTTAATAAATTACTAATGACAAAGTAGGTGCATCGATCATAGTTGTGAAGTAAATCATAGAACGAGGGGTTAATAAATATTCCATAATCGGTGATACGATATCATATACTATTTGAAGTCCCGAGAAAGAAATATTTCATATCCGCACACTAAAAATTTACATACTAATTGAATTGACTCGGTGTTAACTACAACTGATAGCATTGCCACTTTATTAGCGGTCGCAAAAAATCTATTCGGAATAACGGACTACGAACTAGGTCAGCAGTATCCACTGCCACGTATACATACTATGTGAGACATTGACCTAACGAAAACCAATTAATCTCTCAAACGATAGGATTTATCGTCTCGATACTGCAATGAATGAGCCAGAGCAAATCCGACGCACGCGTATCGTGGTATGGCTTATTACCTTCCTGGATCAATTAGTTACGAGAGCAATTGCAATATGCGACAGTGAAAATATAACCCATGTGATTTCACGAAAACCTATTAATCATTCGATTGCAGAGCCTGATCAACCAGGCTCGTTAAATATTTCGGTGTGATTTTTATTCTTCGTTCTATGAGCATACAGAGCAAATGGCAATTGGTTGCAATATTTCAAGTCCTTCCTCGGCCATTCAATGAGAAATCTTTTTTAACCTGTTAACTATGGAATTTGGTTTAAAAAATCTGTCATTCTGCATGAAATAAAATGAAAAATGAAGCGTATAAGGTAAAGGCACAATCAAAAAAAGGCATAAAAGAATTGACCTGATATCATTAGTTGACCATTTTGCAGGAAAACGTGAATAATAAGATTTTTACAAGTAATAATGTTTCGATAATGTTTTCGACCCAACTCCGACCCAACTCCGTTGTATCCAATTTCCAACGTGGAATTAATTTCTTTTCATTTGTATTTGTCTTTTTACTTGTAATTTGTCATAATCGTTGCAAATAAACGATATTAAAGTAATCATCTTTAGTGTTTTTGATTTTACCACAAATGGTCACCTGCTAACTAACACATGGTCAATTACTAGTTTTCCCGTTTTAAAAGATGATCAATTTCTAACGTAAGTACTGAATTTTCAAAAATATCTATAAAATGTAGATAATATAACTATTTCAAACAGCATTTTCACCCATAGAGTCTTTCTATTTCATAAAGGAACAAGCGTTTACTATTATTCTTGCAGAAAGTTTTTCTTAACTGGTCAACTATTGGTACTTTTACCTTACTCGGCAAAGGCAGGGTAAATGCACCTATAATATATTCTAACGATTAACTAAAACAAAATGAAGAAGAATTACATGTTCATCTGAAAAAGTAAATAGTTCATCGTTGAAGATATTGATACTGTTTTGTGTTTTAAAATGACGTATGTACTCGTCGGACGCAGTTAACTGGTTGAAAACGTTGTTTACTAAAGTATTGAAATTTCGAAAATAGTAATGTACTTAATCCGATAATAGCAATAGCACTTTGTTCTCGGTTAAGTCAGAATGTGACCAGAGGACTAGTAGATAATATAATGTATGATTTAAAACAATTTTATTGCGATCAGTGAATAATTTTACTATAAAAGATAATGATAAAATAATTGCAATAATAATTCAATTTACCTGTAATTACAATATATAGTGTACAGTTACATATATAAATAAAAATTTGTGTAGATTTAAAAAAGATAGACTGGAATAGAGACTTTTCTGTTCAATTCTGAATTTTATTAAAATAAATGAGGAAACCGAAATTTATGAAACGGATATATCCTTATATAAGCACAGTGATAGCATAAAAGTATCAGTTTTTACATTTAAGAGATTGTATCTTAAAATTCATACAACTTTTTAATTGTTATCGAAATCCACGATGATGTTGAAAATTTTATATTTTTCAGTTCAAAACCGTATAGTTTCTCCAATGGCGTCGTGTTTTGTTAAAATACTTTTTATGAAAAGTCTTGTAAGTCATGGTACACCCGACAAAAGAAATAATACAGTCTATACAAATAAGTAAGGCGAAAATATAGATTAAAATTTTGTTACTTAAAGCTTTCTTTTCGAGAAAGTTGATATGGAAATTTTGTGAAGTACACGGGCACTTAGCTGACTCAACTATATGCGGGTGGTATAATTATCATAATAATATGAAACATATTATTATAATAGTATGAATAATTGGAAACATAGAGAAATAAATTATTTAAAAAAAATGTAAAATACAATTTTTTGGTATGGTATCGTTTGTAAGACATTTCATGTTGAAAATTTGTTAAATATATCTGCATATATTTAACTACTGATAAAGTATATTGAAATTCAATTTTTAAAAAATAAGATTCCAATAAAAATATTCCACTCTATTTCCATTTTATTTTTTCATGCAGAACTACATTTTTGCCAGTTGAAGTATCAAGTATAGTATACCCTGCATATAATTATTTATTAAATAATAATGTTTATAAATTTATAAAAATTTCTATTTTTCGTTTAACATTGGTGCTTTGTATATTTCTCCTGCCTACCTGTTTCAAAGAAGTTCCAGTTTATCCTCAGTTTCAACTGTGAATAAAGGAAGAATGAGAAGGGTCTAATAGAATATAAGGCCTTCGATTTTTCTGGAACGATCTCCGTTAAAATTTTGATGCAGGTAGACTGCTCCCGGTGATGGACGGAGAAACCAAGGTCCGATTACTTCACTCGTCGGAGTCAGTTTTTGTGATTCGCCTCTGGTTCGCCCAGTTTTTCCTCATTGCTCTGCTTGTCCAGAAGACCTCGAGGGCTGATCGCCTACGGCGACGGTCAACGATCGGAAAATACTTGTGAATTGTAAAAAAGAAGACGCTGAAGAAGAGGATTAGGAAAGTACTGTCCATGATTGAGACTTTGATGGAAGTCACTGGGTATTCGTCGACCTGCAGACCCACATTTTCACTCGGTTTTTATCGTAACTTCTATCAATCTTTACGATGCCGTCCATACGAAAATTTCTTTTAAAATACACCATTTTGGGGCTTTGTGTACTGAATACTCATCTGTATACGATTATTAGACAATCTATACTATGTTTGAAGGTAGACAAATATGTTTAAAAACAAGATGTAGGTAAAGTTTCAGATGATTTCTTATGAAAATTGTTAACCAGATATATCATGAGAAACTGTAATGTTTATTTTCAACATTAAGCTTATATTAATATGAACAATGACTTCATATGAATAGGAATTCGTACGTTATTCAGAAGTGTAACACTGTGAATGTAGAGGATAGGAAATAAAAAAATGTGTCATATCATTCTTATTGATAATCCTATATATAATTTCGGAAATGTTTAAAGTATAGTCATACTAGAATATTTTTATATGATTCAAGAATTTTATGAAACAATTCAACTTTGTATTTTCCAGCTTATTTTCAAATATCAGCACATAAAAAATACCTGTAATATTTTCAATTTCAGATTATCTTGACATACTTGTTATGCTTCCGCATTTTACAATTTATATTTATACACAACGATATTTATTGCAAATTAACTTACAATTGCATTCCTCCCGTAATCTTATCCTAGTAAATATATAGCTTCATGGTTAACGAGATATTAGATATGACATATTTTCTCTATAAATATTAATACCTTCCAGATGCAATTAAAAATGGATAAAAATCACTATATACTGCGTTCATAATGTAATTTCCAGCACAAATAGTACAACGTAAATAATTTAAAATATTTCGAATGAATATATGGTGGAACGGAAACACTTAAAATATAGATAAATAAATGACTGACCAATAAATTCATTTTTCCTGCTTCAAAGCTAACTCATTAAGAACCTATACATATACATTGATACATAATAACATGTTTTTATTTAACTTTGTTTTCAAATGAACCAATAATGTAGGAGTAGTCTCTAGCAATAAACTATTATAAACCTGTAGTAAGGAAACGAAGAAAATATTAGTTTTTAATATTTATATATATTATTTAATAGTTATTTATAGTTAATATATAGTTAATATTAATTTGTAATCATTTTAATTTAAAACTTATTAATATTTCTGATTGGAAGTAATGTAGCAATGTAGTTAAATTTTTACATTCAAGTAATTAAGGAGGCATTTGGGTTTAGAAATCGAGAAATGTAATATTTTTGAATTTTTTCTAGAAAATTAAAGAAGATAATTATCTGAAGTTTTCGGCATTCGATTACGTATATTTTGAACATATAAAAAAATGATTGGTATCTTCGTATTAGCTAGACTATTCATTGTTTGACTAAGTTCCGCTTTTATCAAACCGAATCTAACCTCACCTCTAATACATTCTTTTAAATGTGTATATGTAATTATATATGAATTCTGTAATTGAGAAATGCATTTTTTATTTCGTTTCGCAAAGCAAAACTTAATCAATAAACAGTTAGTTCGCATAATGTCAAAGTACCAAATTATTTAATATTACATTATAGTCAAATGTTAAAGGTTTCTCTACTGCTTTCCGTAAGAGTCCTCAGAAAATTTATCGCAAACAGGAAGTTCTAATTCCAAAAAAAAATATTTTTAATATGTCGACCGCCACGGTGGTCTCCAATGGCCATAGCTTTCAAATTTCTTAACAGCAAATACAATAAAAAAATTGCTGCTGAATGAAAATATTTAGTCGCACAAATAACAAAATAATAGTATAACTTAAGAACTATGGTACCAAATAATTAATAATTGATTGTAATACCACTTACCATTGTTACGAAAGAATAAGTAATACTATAGAAAACGGTCGAAATTCTCGTGGCAAACGTGTTAAAGTGCGTGAAATATCGGAGATACTGAATTTACAAAAATAAGAAAAAGTTTTTTTTTTCAATCTCTTTGAAAGTCCGAAATTAAAAACCATATTTTTAGCAACTTTTCATCATTTTATGTCATTTCAAAATTAGGAAACGTGATAAGTATCAAGAAACATATTAGAAGTTTAGTACCTGCGGTAATGTATATTCGTCAATCAAACATACGTCATTCTACTTGATCGATTAGTTTTTGAAATATTTGTTCCAGCAGTTTGAAAAAGCAATGGTTTGAGAAAAACACGTTTAAGGTTTTACACGATAAATTCAACTAGCGACGACAGTTACTAAGGTACCTATAACTTCGTTAATTTTCAAACATTTGAAATTTCCTTTTCAGTATATCTTCTCTAAACATCAATGAAACAAAAAATGTTTCGAAAAATCGATTTTTTGAAACTTCTGATCGGAATTCCTTCCTAAGTTCTTGAACGAAGCTTATGGCTCGAAGTAGTAGAATAGGCAGCGCAAAAGTAACAGTAAGAAACATTTATTCTTATCACACGAGTCAACGAACTTTTACGGTGACTCCTGATTTTTTGCCAAAAATGTAAACGAGAAAGTTTAACACATTATTGACCGGTTACGGGTTAACTCATGTTTGTACTTACATTAGTTATTACAATTTCTGAAACGCAGGGCTATACAGAATGTTGCAAAAGCAAAATATTGAAAGTTATACCAAATATATGCCCAAAGTTTCATTTCAATTCATTATGTACAAATAAAGTATATTGAAGTTTATCTTGATTGTTTCACTTTTATATTTAAATACGAAATAATAGCCAGTAATATGGGATAGTTTCTGCGTAAAATTTCCGGTCAGCAATGCGTTAACAATCTTTGGACAAATTTTACAGATTGATAGGAACTTGGAAATAGTCAGATGCGCGGTGTCGGAGCTTTAGCTCCATTTCGGCGGGGAATTTGTTCTACACGCGCGCGCGTGCTCATTCTGTGACTGCGGGCTCGGAAAAATAGAGAAAAGAATCGGAACTCTACCGTTATGTTCACCCAACTCGCGCCATAATTACAACTTGCTACTTGCGAGATGTATACGACCAACGATACTGCTCGGGCAAACCATGTCGGAGGAGCTGTAAGCCTCGTATCTGTGGTAATTATAATGAAGTTGACTCATGATATCTGTCAATGTTAAATACCTTGCGATTAATCTTGTCTAATTTATGTTGCATATCATTCTGGACGATGTAATGTGAACATTCAGTTATAAAACAATCATTTAACCTTCGGTTTTCTATTATCTGGCATTGCTAATTTCTTAGAAACAAGCATTAGTATTATTAATACTTGAGTCAGCGGTGTAGAAAAGTTCCGAACCGTTTAAACTTGAATGATTCATTATTTGTTATTGACGTAAAGTATTTGAAGAGAAATGATATAGTTATGCATTATAGATTTTCGATATTTTTAGTAAATATATGTTTCTGGTTATCAATATACGTATTTAATTAATTCGGTTTGACGCGAAGTCATTTTTAAATTGCATATTGTGTTTGTTTTTTGTAACTCGTCGAAAAGTGATATAGTTTTCTTCTTCTTGTATGACTTCTTCCGTTTCTTTCTATATCAAATAGCGTATCATTCACATTAAATTTGTCTGTTTATTTTAATATTCCAGTGAAAAAGGAAAAATCAGTAGAATAAGTCAAGAAGAGATGGTCCAATTTTTTAAAAAGAAGTGTTACGTTATAAATATTATTAATACCTAATAAAACATAGAATATATTTATGAAAATAAATGTAACTATATAAAAAGAATTTCTATAATAATAACTATAATATTATTTCTATAATATTAACTATATAAAATAATTATAAAGAAGAGATTCGGTATACCAATCAAGAGAATTGAAAATATTTAATAATTTTAATGTTTAAATTTTCATACAACAAGTGTCTCTCTTTTAATTAGATTGAAATATCCATTCTGTTACTATTTTTTTGTAACACTACTTTATAACAGTCACAACACGCTAAGTTCTAGTATCATAATACTTGCATTTCCATTCTCATTTTCTCTATAATGTTTAAAAAAATTAATAATGTTATTCTTTCACCATCAAATAAATGAAATTAACTATTTAATTCGTCCTTGTTTTTTATTCTAACATCACATTCATTTCTATTTTCTTCTTAAATCTTTCACTATTCTATCTTATATTATCTATATATTACAGTTATTGAGACAGTTATAATTTCTACTGTTTTACAGATAGTTTTTATTTCGAATGTTATTTTCTTTTTTTGTGTCTTCAATCATCGACATTTTTATGTATGAATGCAGATTATTCTTCGTTTTAGTTGATACAGTTTCATACAACATAAAACCTTTACAAGAAATGTGAGATACTTAATATCCACACAGTATGAAGCTTTAATACCAGATTTCATTCTTTACTTAATTTACAATAAAAGTATGTAGCACAGTTTACTATTAAATCGTGTAATATAAGATGTCGGATTTTTCTTGCTCATAAATCTTTATACTTCTGTTGTTGTTATTCCTTTGTTTTTCATATAATCTCTTAAACAGTTTCATTGTCGATGATCAGAGTAACTTTTTGCAGAAAAGTTTTTCCGAATCGTGCATTGTAACGATTACTTGCATCGTTCTTTGAAAACATAGATACCGCCAACAATTGTGTAATTTTCCTATATGAGTTCAAACTTGGAAACAATGTTGCAAAAACTGCTGAAAATATAAACAAAGCATTTGGGGACAATACTGTGAACGAAAGAACAGTGCAGCGTTGATTTGCAAAATTTCGTTTCGGTGATGTTTCTTTGCAAAATGAAGCAGCAGTTTATAAGGATGTCTTTAGAGTATATTTACTCAAAACGTTCAGAATTTTTTACAAAAGGCATATATTCATTAAAACTATGTTAGTAGAAGTGTATCGATTCGAATACGGCATATTTTCATTGAATAAACACCTTTTAGAAGATCAAATAAGGTTTCCTTTTCTCACAAAATCCTTGTGAAATCATTTCGTATTACACGACCTAATCACTTTAACAAAAAAAACTTTAATCTTACTTTCATTCGTTTCGTTTCCAAAATACCAAATCCTTTCTCATTTACTATATTTACATAGAAAAGACATTTTCAAACTTAGAAATGCTATGAATGCGTTTTGCAATTTTGTAAAATTCACAGTACGATTATTTAGAAATACTGACTCTTAGCGAAAATAGTGTATCCATTCGAGAGATATATACATTTTCACTATCTTACGGAGTTATTTTCGAAAAGATGGTATAGTATAGTGATGAGCGTCCATTAACACGTTGACTGCCACGAGAATTTCAAGCGTTTTGTTATAGTAAAATTAATTCCTTTATAATAGAGGAAAATGGTATTAGAAATAATTATTAATGTTTTGGTATTACAATACACATATAACACAATTATCTACCTTCTTGTGTTACTAAATATTTTAATTTAATATCAATTTTCTTATTATAATTTTTTTCAAGCAATTTGGACGCTCCGGTCACCGGTAAACCACTATAGCATTCAACGTGTTAATTTGTTAACTGTGGAATTTAGTTTGAAAAATATCTCGTTTTGTGGGCAATACAATCAAAAAATGAAGCGTGTACTCGTCAAACGCAGGGCGAATGCATCTAGGATATATTTTAACACGTTCTGTGCCATGTGTATCATTTGTGGTACACGCGTAATTTTTGTAGGGAAACATTTTTTGTGAGAAATGTGTCAAAAAATAGTGGTACACATCGCGAAGCAGCGAAAATTTGAAGAAATAATATCAAAATGTATATAAAAATTACCAAGAACTTGAGAGTATAACTTAACACATTATGGCTGGTGATTTTCAATGAGATCAACTTATATTATTATATGTAAAATATTCAAATATTTTACTGTTATTTGATAGATAAATTTTCGGTGGCACGGAATGTGTTAATGAAGAAACAAAGCAAAACAAAGGAGAATTACATGTTTATCTGAAAAAATAAAGAATTCATCATTGAAAGAATTAATATGATTTCAAGCTTTAAAATGACGTGGTTAGCTGAGGGCTAAGATAAAATAGTTTCCATTACTTTCCAGTGTCCGCTAAACCAAGAAATAAAAATATCTCTTTGATGAAAAATAAAAACGTATTTTTATTTTAACCAGAGAAAACAAACATTTCACAAGCTTTAATCTAACAAGACGTATTACACTGCGATTATCATTAACACTAGATTTACAAACATTTGCTGTAGAGTATGCTGTATCGTTCTTAGAAAAATTGATATTCGTTCATTTAGATCTTGGAAATCAAAGGTTTAAAAGTAAACAATTCGGATGCATATGTGCTTAACTGCGTCAATCATAATCGATCCAAACATTTACCAAACAATGTTTATAAAATTCAATATAAGTAAAATTGACTCCGTAAATCTAGTGTTAATTGGAAATCTAAAGGAAAAACTTCGTTTATTACCTAAAATTCAAAATGATCATTACACTCTTTTTGACACCAAAACTACCGAGCAATTAGAGTGACTTATTTTCGAATGTTTACAAAAATTAGAACACTGCGTTTCTTGAAATTCGAAGGGTTTCCTAGTGTTATTTGTGCAAATACACGAAGTTAATTGAACATTTTTCGCAAACACACCTTCGCAGAATAAACATTCTGAAGTAGGTCAATTTGACCCATCTAGTAGTTTTATTGTTAATTGTAACTGGACAAATTATATTTGCCGCCAATTGTTTTTGAATGTTCCAAGGTACGCGCGGCGCGACGAGCAACAATTGTATGCCGTGTTTCATTAGAGATTGTCCTCAAGACCGTCATAAACTTTTCAAGGACGATGCAAGTACGAATTAAATAGCATCACGGAACATGTGATCGATTGTCTTGCGATCATAAACACAGGTACGTCATCGATCGTAGGAAAGCGTAGACCGTTAAAGCCAGCACGCAACCCGCACGGTATGTAAAATGATGCTTGTTAATGCGTCGTTTCTTCCCTTCTAACGACGGACATCAATTACGGACGGGACCCGCGATTATTTCCTGTAAATCGCTTACGCCCGAATCATGCGATAAATCCTGGTATTTTTATTAAAACCAGACGAATATACTATCATTTCCTTCATTTATTTCATACTCCGTACACGTTAAAGAAATAGGCGATCAGGACGGCGGACATCAGACTGTAGAAAAATTAATGTTATTACGCGTTTATGCGTTTGAGGTCCGTTAGATATGTACGCACGCCGCGAAACGTTTATACGATTTCAGGCAGCATAAAGTTCATGACACTTCCACTGTTCCGTTTGGTTTATTTCCCCCTATAAGAAAAATCATTTTATAGACAACAGCGATAACTCGTTTTATTGGACATTTACCAAGTGAACGGGTAAGTGAAATTCATGCATACCAGGATTGAGATCCGGCTGAAGCTTGAGCCGAGGCTTGGGCCGAGGCTTGGGAGTACGAACTTCCTCCTCCACCATAATTTCCTCCTCCACCGCCACCACTAAAATAGCAGAAAAATTACAATATGTTGTTTCGAGTTTTAAGTTGGTGGAAAAGTTTAATCATTTCTTTTTATGGGATGCTTATATTGTAGTACATGAATAAATGTTGTGTAATCAAAAAATAGAGGAACAAACAATTAATTATATTTTAATCAATTAACAATATTTTAATCTATAATTCATTCGATTAAACGATGATTATTTAAAAACTTTTCTGTATTATAAGTGTTGTAATATCATTTAATGCAATGGCACTGAATAAGATAATTCTACAATAATAATAACATAATTTAATTACATAAGCTGATATTACAACATGTTACCGGGACGAATTGTGCGAATCGTTCGTTCGGGATCTCGGCTTCGACTGACTGTCAATGTTCATGATCATTGTTAAGTTAATCATTAATGATTGAAAGATAAAGAGTGAGATAAAAGATATTTATCGCTAAATGTAAATTAAATTTCGTTTTGTTTACAATTCACCAAATTCAAACTACATGTCACTTTTCTCATCTACAATTACAAATAATAAAAAGGAATATATTAAAAGATATTAACTACCTTTCTAACAAAATAGATAATTTGTACCTATTAGAAAAACAAGAAAAAATGTAGTATAAACTTTTTTGTTTTACACATAATTTTTGAGAAAATTCAATTTAAAAGTTCTATTACTTGAATATGCAGGTATGGCGAAAGTTGAGTATACAGTGGTGCACCAGGCGATTTATAATGTCTATTCTATTTATAAGTAGTTCTACATGATCTTTAGAGACACTATATTAAAAAAAATAAGGTATTTTATCAATAACATTTCATTATCTACAAAACCGTATTCGTAGAAACGTATCATTTTTTGTATCTCTTCGATGTATTTCAATTACAAACCGTTCGATTAGGATCAATTTATCTTTTTGACTTTTTCTTGAGTCTAGTAACTGTAAATGTCATGTAGACATTGTTTACAAACATGATAAGTGTTATACGTTACACGGCGAATAATTTTCTCGAAGATCGAGCCTCGAACAAAAAAATTTTCTTTTATATTATTTTTAAGGGCAAGTTTTATAGAAGTGGAACAGATGAAGCGTTAAGGCTGCTTTTTCTGAAGCTATCGTAGATCAACTTGACATTTTCAGGTGTTCAATGGTGTGAATGGGTTAATATTTTAAAATGTAAGATTCTGTAAGAGTAAGTTTTTTAAGAATGGAAAGGTTACCTTCATTTTTTTTAAATGGAATAGCACATCTATTTTTCTGCATTCGGGAAGATGGTAACAAACTTAACTACTTCTATCTAAGGAAATTTCTTTGAGTTAATGAGAAAGAGAGAGAGAGAAAGAGAGAGAGACAAAGACAGAGAGTTATAAATAATTATCACAAAGATATAAAGAAAATTTATTCTGATTTGAAAATTATTTTATTAGATACTTAAAGAGCTATTCATTCACTCCCAAATACGCATTTAATTATTCCATACCGATAATACTAAATAAAAATATATATAGATAAATATATGTAAAATTAAGTAAAATTCGTGTGCGAATATCTTTGTGAATATCTGATAACATTCTTAAAGTTATGGATTTATATGCAATGTAAATTGTTTTCATAGCCTCTTCTGTAGTAGGTATATTGTACTATCGTATTTTCTTTCATGTAGCCTCACAAAAAATCCGTTAACATTAAGTCGTGCGACCTTAATAACCATTGGATTGATTCATCATGTCCTATCTATTTCCAAATTATTGATTTAAAAGTTGTTGAGCGCCTGTGGCATAGTGTAGAGGAGCATCATTACGTTGAAAAATCATTTTATTCTTTGTTATCTCTAATGAAATATCCTCAAGAATACTGTTTTTGCGTCTGGTATTTTCCATTATAACTGCTTAACTATACAAAATAAAAAAATATCTTGAAGAAAAGATTGTTGGTCTGATACCATTTTTCCAAATATTTGAAACTTAATACAATCTTTCATTTAACTCAATGGAGTAACAAGCTTTCCACCCTTAGGGAACTTACTTTTACAATATTTTGCATTTTGAAGTATTCATTCCTCTGCAGTATTTAACACCTGAAAATTTTAAAATTATATTTGCAATAGCTTTGGAGAAAAAAATTTCCGATACTTTAGCTGTCCACTTTATATATAAATGTTACAAACTTTAGTAATGTGAAAATATTCAACCTAAATTTGTTGAAAAATGTTGAGGAAGTGAAAGTGAGGTACTATCAAGAGAGTATTATTATTTATAAACCTTCATCTAACTTATCATCATTGAATATTATATACGTCATCTATTATAATATTTCCCTTATATGTACTACGAATTTACATGAAAAAGATATTTTCCATTGTTAAATATTTATTTATAATAAATGCAGCCGAATATTCATTCATTTAAAAATTTCTAAGGGAGTTTTGGAATATTCGTCTCATTATTCGAAAATTAATTACAATTAGACTGGGAATGTTCATGCAAATTCTTATTTTGCTCGATTATGTAATAAAAACAGAATTTTGACTTGAAAAATGTATTCCCTACGAAATGAACATTAGAAATAAATTAAAAAATGTTTTCACGAGGTTTCCCTTTCATTAAGTTATAGTATTGGTAATGTTGGTAATGGTAATTGGTAATGTAACTAATTATAGGTAATGTTGAGGAATATTCGTAAAATTTTATTTAAATAGCAATGACGAATAAATAATCAATCGTTATTCCATTATTTGTTATTCAAGTTATTGATTATTCGGTTAAGAAACCTGTGTTCAAATTCGGTTGATGAAAAGGCAATATCATTTACGTGTCTTATGTTGTTATTAGACTGCGGATCTTTATGGAAACTCGAATGTTTGAAAACGTAATGAAAAAAATAAAATTACAATGGAAAATTGTTTTTCCTGGCAAATACTATAAAAAGTACTATACTTTGGATATTTTGGATATTTTTTCACACAGCATACATTTCCTACTATTTTGAAACTTCAAATTTTCCATAAACGGATAAGGAATCGCAGTCCAGTTATTATATACAGTATTGTGTAAAAGTTATTGAAAATAGCGAATAAAAAATAATATTATTCGCAAATAATAATTAAATTACACTTATTCCTCATTCTTTATTCGTTATTGTGAATAAAATAACTTTTGTTCTAATAAAATATGTCCAAATAAAAATGGCTCACCATGTGTTGCAACCACCTCCGGTCGGATGCGATGGATAACCTGCTGCAACAGGTACAACAACTACGGGTATAACACCAATTGTTTGACTTCCTATAAAAACCATTTAGCGTCAAAAGCGAAAGCGAACGATGCTGCAGATGTAGAGCTGTACATATCCTATTTTCTCATATTACTATTTTTTAACTACTTGAAATATAATACACACAACTATTTAAATATAATTTCCTTTTTTTAATAGATTCAAAATGTTTCTTGAATTATAATTATTAATATATTACATGCTTTAAAAGTTATAATACTAGTCATGCAGTCTACACTATTATTTCTAACTACAGTTATTTTTAACTAAAATTAAATTAAATTCTAACTACAGTTACTTCTAACTACAAAATTGTTCAAAGCAACTTGCTATTATTTGTTTATTAGTTTTTCTACATTTAGTTTTGCATTCAGTCTAAATGAAGATAAACAAAGTGTATACACATCAGATAAATTCTGATATAGAATTGAGAATATTTATTGGGGATGATATTGTAAATCTACTAATACTTTACTGTGTAATGTCAATAGTACTGATATTATTTCTTGCAGCAAGTTTATTTGTCAATTGCGTTACTGCTAAAGCGTGAGTTGTTATGTACTTATCCTACTACTACCAGGAAGCTTGATACAGGCTGCTATTGATTAATTAGCCAACAAGATGATTTATAAAATGGTATTGACTTGACTTGTATTTTATACTTAACATGAACATTAACAAAACCAATTTGCAATGCTAATCTTGGGTTTAGAAGGATTTGTTTTTACCGTTAGATTTTTTTATTTCGATAAATAATGTCCAGTGCATATATTATCTCACACTCAGAATCGTTTAGTATATTCAAAATTGAACCTCAATATTTTTAGAGTCATATTTTCAGTACATATGCTAAAATATGTAACGATATTTCAGAAGTTCAGTTAGATTTGTAAAATTTTGTACACACGTACATTCAGTGCTTCTATTTGAAAATCTCTATTTGTCTTACCAATATGTAAATATAAAATATTGAAAACTTTTGTGTGATAATAAATGAATGGTTAGTAAATGGTTAGTAAATTTAAACATTTAAATTCTAGTTATCAGAAATATTTAAATACCATTATGTAAATATGAAACTAGTATCTGAAGATTTCGTTGAAAGGAGTTAATATAAACGATCCTCAATAATAGGTGGACGAAAATGTAAGGAAAGATTCTCTGTTACAAAACGAAGCAACAACAAAAGTAAAAAATTGTAATTTTGACTTCGTTTTGAAAGAAATAATAATAAAAATGTACCACTAATTTTACATACATCAAATCTCTGTTTCTCACGTTGCGTTAGTATCAGCTATATTGGAGAAAAACTTTCAAACATTCGTAACATGAAAATACAATTGTTTTACTCTTAATCTTCGTGTTACAATATTTCGGAAAATTTTCTTACCTGTTACAGAGCATCCTGTATTTGTATATAATATTATGTAATACTTGTACATGTTTCATTTGAAATATAATTGTTTAAGTAGCACACTAAAGTAGACAGTAAGAATACAAAAATGAATGTAGTATTATATGCCAACAGTAAAAGGAATGTAACAAAATATGTAAACAAAGAATTATTTCCTACAACTTCCGTCCACATCTTATATACAGGGTGTCCCACGACTCATGGTCAACCGATTAGGAGGTCATTCTCTATGCAAAAATGAGTCGAAAAATACAATAAAATTTTTTCCTGCGAGTCTTCGCTTTCGAGAAAATCGAAGTTGAAAATTTACTCGGTACCTGTAATGACAAAGTGCGGATACCGCTCTTGATACAAACGCGAAGCGGCACTCAAATTACTCTCGCAAGCTCCAAGTCCGAGAATCATATCCGTATAGTCACCATTCGAATAAGCTGCCATATTGAGAAACTGTTAGATACTGAATAATTATATCGCTAATAGAATAGCACGAACGATAAACTATCAACCGAGGTCATTTCTATATCTTTAAATACAAATAAGAATCAAAACAAGAGTGTATAGTGAGATGCACAAAGTCGACATGTATCGAGTGTACACGTATCGAGTAAATTTTCGACCTCGATTTTCTGGAAAACGAAGACTCGTAGGAAAAAATTTTATTCTATTTTTTCGACTCATTTTTACATGTAGAATCACCTCCTAATCAGTTGACCATGAGTCGCGGGACACCCTGTATAACTCTATAAATTGAAACAAAAGCACTGCTTCCCCCTGTACAAAATAACAACAAGAATGAGTGTGAATGAAAAATATTTTGCACCAGAAGTTTCAATATCCTTGAAAATAATTGGGAATAAATAAACATCCCAATGTTAACCTACTTTGTTATATTTAAAAATATAAAACGTTAGTCACAAGGAATACATCAAGAACTGTCACCAGGTAACGACAAAGTGGATGGGAAAAGGTTCAGGGAGTAACGTTCAGAAAGTTATTCCTTTATTTATGATTGATGTAACACATGAAAATGGATTTAGAAAATTGACAATCTCTATTTATATATAGTGTCATGACCATAATCACTTCCCCCGTAATGCCCTCCACCACAATTCCCAGATTTATGAGACTGCCCACATCCACCACCATGTGACCCACCTCCTTCGTATCCTCCACCATATGGCCCACCTCCTCCGTATCCTCCACCATATGGCCCACCTCCTCCGTATCCTCCTCCGTATCCTCCTCCGTATCCTCCTCCGCCATTGTTTGATGAGTAACCGCCCAGTTTGCACTTGAGACAAGGTGATCTCCTGTTACGAACTTTCTTCAACATGTCCATCTTCTTGGGTAACAATATGCCTTCGGCGTCGCTCTTGTCCAGCTTAACTCTAAGCAATCTCGTTTCGCCGGAGTGGTTGATCCTTTCCACGTTGAAACCTTCACCCTTTTCTAAGTCATCTGCGATTTCATCGAGGTCCGCCGGCACGTCGGTGCTATTGTCATCTTCGTCCACCTCGATCACCAGAAACACGGTGGCCAATGGCTCTGTTCGGATTGTTTTAGTTCCGTTGTAAAATACAAGCACTCAGGTTTTGGTTATCTTATGTTTACCGAACATGTAAGAATGTATTTATTTAAAATATTGTGATGATACTGTAATATATTTTTAACTTCAACGGGTTTCTGCCATTTTTGCTTCACTCATTTGTCATGTACAGTATCTCGTATTTTTTACAATGTTAAATGAGTTTTGTATGTGTTATTATTTAAAATCTTTTATGTAGAATGTGATGCCCACAAAAGTAGCTGGAAAAGACTATGGAAAAGTAGCCTACTTCCAATTCTGGTGAATAAAAACAGTTTGCTTTTCCGTAGTCCACCCTGCATAAACTCTGTTTCAAGACAAATGAGTTTATCTGTCACTTTCAGTGAAATAAGAGAGACAACTGGCTGCTAATACGGATGTAATTATAAGTAGAATCATTTACCTTATCTGTCACATTTATAGAAATGCTAGAGGATACTGATTGTAGATAAAAATCAAAATGGAGATAAAATACAAACTAACTGTGGATAGCGCTTCACTTGACTAAAGTATTTTTATTTTCATTTATCTATTATATTTTCTTTCTCAAAAAGATTTTTGATAAGTCCATAAATAAAATAATTCTTTAGGATGAAAAGTGATGTGTCTAATCAAATTTTTGTTTTCCTCTTTATCCTTAAGATTTTCTTATAAAAATTGACATTTGATGTGTATGCGTGATCTGTGTTGAATATTACCTGTCAATTCTGGTGCTTTCTCAATTATCTCATTTTCAAAGACTTCGTCCGAAGTTGTGCCACTGACATTCTTCACTCCGTAAAGATTTATAACGAAAAGCACGTATTGGTGATCTTTCTCCGGTAGTGGCGGAGGCTTCAATTCAGTCGATAAAGTCGTCTCGTCGACAACTTCCACTGCATCTAAAGGTGGTTCTAAAAGTGAATTATTAATTAATAATAAATATAATTGTTATTACAAACTAGCTTCTTCCAAATTATATTTCATCATTTAAACGATATTATTCAAAATCATGCCGACAATTCCAGAAAAGTTGATTCTAGAGAAAATATTATTATTACAAGAATATTATTCTGTTTTCTTTAACACTAAATTTGTATTAAACTAAACTGTACTACTTTTCTGTACTAATAAATTGTCAACTAACTAAAAACAATGACAAAACAAATTTATAATTGAAACACGAATAAATTGTAAATTACAAAAGTTTATACTTTAGAAGTGAAAATTTATAAAATGAAAGAAATAGCTTTACTGCGAAGTTAGAGAAAAGATTTACGAAACCTTCAGAAATTGCACTTTAAGCAGTTTAAAAGTTTTGTAATTTAAAAAACTGAATAGCAATAGAAAAAAGATGCACTCATTTGAAATGTCCAGTTACCTATTACTGGTAAAGCAGAAATGATTGTGATAAATAAAAACGCAGAAAAAACGCTAACAGTCCAGAGCGTTCCGCCAGCCATTGTGAAGAGCTGAGATCTCTTCAGATGTACTGCGCTGCGATCCTTTCATGTTACGGCTTTTATAGCTATCGATCTTTACACGTGCACAGTTCTCAGATAATTATGTAACATCGCGGGGAGCGCGAAACCACTTCTCCTCTGTTTTCCGCTACAACAGCTGTTTATTACCATCGCATCTCTATACTTTTGGTTTTTCCGTGAATGCTCAAAATTCGAACAGTTCTACGCACTCTTTATTATTTTCAAGTTAATGCGATTAACACTGCGCGATGTTCATCGTAATTTGAGCCACTCATTGGACAAATTTGTTAACTTCGCGAAACAAAAAGTAGAGAAAGGTGATGTAATAGTTATATATATATATATATTTATATTTTAAAATTTCCCTTTCAATGCAAAATCAAATGATGATTATAGAATTTTTCATTTTATTATCACTTTATTAGAATTTCAACTTTAAAAAAAATTATTACTTTATTAGAATTTCACTTTATTATTACAACCTCAGTTCAACGAATATGTAAAATGCCTAAAATGGTATATCGTTGAAGGTAATTTTTATTATTATTGCAATTTTTACATGGCCAAAAGAATTGCTATTATTTCGTGGTACCAAGCCCAGTTATAACGAAATTTGTTTTAAATGTACAAAATTAAGAGCCAATGAAGCACTTTAATGATAAAATGTTAAAAAATTCCAAAAGTGAAATTGATCGATTTGGCCAATGAGCGATTCATTTGTGTGTTCAATTGCATAGCACATAATATACTCTTTTAAAATTTGTTAAATACTTTTTAAAAGAAACATATGTTAAGTAAACAATCGCAAGCACCAACGATTATTATTAACGATGACTTTATCTTTATGTTGTTTGTATTGTGATCTATATTAACTTTTTACTTATTGCATTGCATATTGTAGAAAGAAAATATATGGAAATAAAACTGACAATTATTATATTAATTGAAAAGTTGTAGAAAAATTATTGTGAGAGGGAATCAAACTGCTTAACGCACACGTATGGCTGTATTATATGTAGTAAGTGCGTCAACAACACATTATCTGTCAGGATATGTATTTTTAATCGACACGCAAAATATCGATTGCCTAAGAGTATGAGTAGTAATGTCTTCCACAGAATTTGCTAAACTGAAACAAAAAAGAGAGGATTATTATTACTAGAATTCTTAAAGCTGAAAGTACATTGGTCGTTTCTGTTTAATATGTGGAAAATCGTAGAAATAATAACTCTACATTACTGTGTTGCAAGAGATACGATACTTTATTCGAAAATTATTCACTCTTTCATTATTTCATTAATCTTCATTGACATTACAGTTTTTTACATAACATATGGTCATCGTTTAGAAAAATTGATTGATTCCAATATTCTTTTATTCCAAGTTTCGTAACTTTATATCTTTGTATTGTATAAAAATTGCTATTTTGTAGGAAAAAAACAGAAAGATTATTCAAGTAAAAAGATATTAATAATTTAAAAAAAACAACTGAATATTTACTTCGTCTATGTAGTAATTGATTCCAATTCTTTCTATAGAAACATTACGCAAATTATGCTCAGAACAGAATCTTTTTATTCTCCATTATTCCACATTTATCTACCGCAGTTATCAGTTTTACGAAGGCGTGAACCGACTTGATCAATTAATACGCAACTTGAACTTGACCTTATCGAAAAATTTATAGTACGATATGGTTACAATTAACTCCTTAATACCTTACATTGCATAACGTTCTAACGTTATTTAAATTGATGTGCGACATTATATCAATGTTCTACATCAATATCAATACGCGAAAGAAATTGTTGGAATAACGTCATGGTTGGACTTTTACCCTTTTACTTTGGACTTAGTTTTGTTAATTATTCATTGTCGATAAACTGATAAAATTTCCCAGAATTGTGATTGTGGCTGTAATATTTCTCTTCAGTTACATGTAGGAACTCTATATAAAATCTGAAGCATCAACTAGTGTTTCATTACATTGAAAAATTCATTGTTTTTCCAACAAATATGGGAATATTTTTTGGCTGCGACCGCATAATAAAGAATATTGTATAAAAAATTTGTCCGTTATACTTATACATGACATGTTTTCCTTCTTTGTTAAATTAAATTTAAAACTAGTTTCATAATTCTCTTAATTTGCCTTGTATCAGATGAAATGCTACGATTTAACAAGGTAACATAAATATAATGGAATAAAGTACATAATTATATGTTTCAAATCAAATTATAAATTTCTGATATAAATAGGAAAAAATTGAATTAATTAATGTAATATGACTTATAAATGATTGTTCTCAAATACAATAATTCCTTCTACACGTGTTATTCATTTAATACAGGAATAAATGAGTAAAGTTTTTAGAAAAAATGATTTTTTAATTTTTTAAGATATTACTTTAAGTACACTGATGTTCATGAATATCTTGTATCACGGAGAAAATAATAACACTAGAGATAGAATTAACAAACAGAGAATGAAAACAAGATAAAGTATCGGATACACGCACTGTAATAGACACTTAAAATCCGATTTCTATATTTTGTTCTAGCAGTATATTACAATTATTTATGCAAGAAAGAAATTTTGATTATTTAATTCAACAGATGTAACTTTGTATTATTGTATTATAATGCAGTTATAAATGGGAACTTTTAAATTATTTAAAACACAATAAGAAATAATAAAGGTATGGTAAATTAAAAACATTACACTAATCTGTTAACAATAGAAAAAATTAAAGAATACCTTAAATAACTTTACCTAAATGTTGATAAATTGGAAGAAATAAGCTTCATACAGTAATGTGAAGTAATATAATGTTATTTCAGATACCTGATGATAAAAAAATACGAACTTCTAAAGATTGTTCATACTAGATTAAATTTAATGATGATTAGTTATTAAATAATTATAAACATATACTAATAGAGAAAATACTACAGTTTATATTGTTAAGAACATACTTCTTTATTTCTTCTTGCCTATAACAAAAACATATTTAAACAATGAAAAATAGTAATTATATATAGCTGTAAAAAACAGAATTTTACAAACAAACACACTTACAATGTTTGTTCATTAGGACCACCGCTGATTAATGAATAACTATGCACTTAGATTGACATATACCAAAACATATGCAAATTAGTTAGTTTCCCTGCTTTGATGTTTCTATTGTCAAGGTATCTTTTAGTTAAAAATAAAGGAACGGTAATCGTAACTGCTTGTTGTCTACGATGAAACTCTGCATATTTTCCTTTCGTCACGAACAATTAAAACATTTTTTTTCCCGAATGATAAATTATCAGTATACCATAGACGACGATTTGCGCTGGTGCAATGATGCAGAAGTGAACGTAATTACGTTCATGTAGAACAGTGTTCCGCGAATCTATTCCTATGACTCGATTCGATCTAGGGTCATAGTGGTGTTTAGCAAAAACATGAGATCACTGCTTCGTGTGATTCGAACAGATCGCGTATGTCTGAAAGCAATTTAACAAGTTTGTGGTCTTCTCTTCCTGTTGACTGTTTCAGAATCTTAATCTTCTCGCAACCTTGGCCTATAGAGACAAATCCAATCTATGAATAATGAGGAATTCGATGATCGCAATTGTCAGCGTATGTTAAAAAGAAATATTCTGTGAAAGGTAATAAAACAGATCCTCGGCGATTTTTAGTTGTCATTTATTTCACAGTAAATGTATTATAAAACAGTTATTTAATGTCAGTCATTTGTCATTTTTATTTGTAAAACTGTCTTGTAAAATTGAAACTGCATTCCACATATAATTCCCTTTCAACGCATTTCAAATTCTATGGAAGAATTCTGAATGATATGAAAAATTCTGAAGTGAATAAATAATATGTAGTAAAATACTAAAGTGAAAAACTCTTTCCAAATGTTCCGTGACAATTCTAATTAAATAAAAAAGCGATTAAAGGTTTATTATTCATATATAATTAGAAAACACGGTTATTCATGTGCTTATTAAGATTTCAGTAATTACACCAATTTGCGTTCTTTCCAGCGATATCCGGTGTACGTATTTTCCCGTGTACTGTATACGTTTTTTACTTGCATAGCGCCATTTGGAAACAACGAAACGATTTCAAATTTCTCAGAATTGGAATACAATTACTTATTATTTATATTGAAGTAATGTAATTAGACATGTTAGAATCCAAGTGATACATTAATATATCATTATTTAACTGTAGATATGTGTTTATGATTTTATGAATAAACTTATAAAATTCAGAATTAATAAATAATTTCATTAAAAAATGGGAAAGTGCAATTGAAAAAATTTTCCCATGTTTATTGAACTCTTTACATCGAATGCTATATAACGTAATTAGTATAATTTAATATATATGTAATTGAACTTCAATGAAAATGTAATTAGAAAAAGTGTTACTAAATAATTATTTAAAAATTTTAAAATATTTTTAAGAATATCGATCATTTGCATTATAATCTATAGATTACATAGACAACATAATTCCACCTAACGTACTAAAAAGATTATTTGTCCAGATAAACAGATAACATAGAAATGATTTTCACTTCAAGAACGCCATAAATCTATGCACTGTGTCGCATAAATACTCGTGAGCAGTAGGAAATGCGTATTTGACATTTCCATTGAAAGCATTACTCGATCGTTTAGATTTATTTTAGAGATTGAAGTTGTTACACTCGCGTTACCTTAGTCGTTACGTATCCATCAGCTTATCGTAAAGAATTACGATTGAAGATTAAATGATGCTTTTATTTCATTAAAGTAAATGATTTTAAGCGAACATTACGGTTCGAAATTGTACCATAAAATTGAAAGTAATGAAAATACGAGTATCATTCTAGAAGAGGCATGCAGAACAAATTATTTCCGGATTGTTTCGGAAAATTCATCTTCGCTCGTGATTAGCGTTAATTTACCTACAGCAGAATACAAAGAAGAATCAAACCGGTGTTCATTACCATAAGTGATATTCCTAGAACAACCTGAAGAAGAGTTTACTAGTTTAATTGGCCGCGAATAGAGGCA